CGAAGGTCTGGTCCTGGAACCTGGGGCTGAGCTTGGGGTTGCTGATGAAGGAGGTGAAAAGGATCTTGAAGTGCTGCACAGCGTCGGAGTACCGGCCTTGATTCCACAGCTCGGTCGCGACAATGACCAATGGCTGGAATGCCTCGGGATGGCAAGTAGTAGAGTCCTTGTTCAGAGTGCGAACGATCTGCAGGTAGTAATCAACAAAGATGGGGCGAGGGTGCGTCAGCTCGGCCAAAGTCCACAGGGTCTTGATCACAATTGCATCGCCCGGGCCGTAGTGGCCGACGTAGTCATTCAGCAACTCCTGGTGAAGGTTAATGATCTTGTCAGTCTGGGAGTTGCGCTTCAGCAAACGAAGCAGCTCATCCGTGTTGTGTTGCCTGATCTTGTCGTCGACCTTGCGACCACCCCGCAACGCGCGGTAGATACGGACGCGGATATCTTCCTCCTTGCTCAAACGACGACGAGAATAGTAGCACTTGCTGAGACGCTCGGCAAGGTCAATGCAGCTCTCTACATGCTTGGATGGAAGGGTGACATCTTGCAAGTTCGGGGCGAAGAGTGCAGGCCAAACACCGTGGAGGACCTTCTTGATCAGCCGCGTGGCGGCTTGCCAGCGGTGCTGTTCAACATATTGAGCATAGAGCTCTGTCGTCGCAGTGAACGACATCTGAGACATGGTGGTAATGGAGCTCGATGCCTCGTAAACCATTTCCTCAACCGTGGTCTCGGACATGACCGTTTCAGAACTGAAGGACTGCATGACCTCCTTCGATGTGGACTCAATGCTTTGCTGTACCTCCTTGAAGCTCGACGTCTGGGTGCGGTTTGTGCTCTTGTAGTATTCAGAGCAGTGCTTGAAGACGGTTAGAGCCAAGGTGGAAATGCCGACCACCTTCATCATCTTTGCGATTTCCTGGAAGTAAGATACCGAGGTATCAGAGATGGTAAGACTAGTCTGCTCATGCTCCTGCCAAGCACTGGATAGAATGGAAGCGGCTTGGTATTCTTTCTTCTGAGACTTCAAGAAATGAGAGTAAGCAAGGACAGACGCCAGCTTCCTTTCTTCCCACAAGGCAGTCATGTTGGTGCGGCATTCCTTGTTCACGCGCTGCCAGATTTCGACGTAGATGCGCTCCGCGAGGTCAAACTTGCCCTGCGCAGTATACTGCTCGGCCTCCTTGATCATGGCTTCAAAGTCGAAGGATTCGGAACGTTCAATCAGAAGGTCATGTTCTTCAATCTCCAAGAAGTCATTGATTCTGGTCTGGACAACCTTGCCGCGATGTCCCCTGACGCGCACTCCCCAATCACCATGGTATTCACGTGACTCAATGCCCTGCTCTCCGACAGTGAGGATCTTGATGTGCTTGCTGATTTCCTCGGCTTTATGGAAGTCCTTGATTGTCTGATAGTGCTTGACCAACTGCTCCCGGGTGGAGATGACCATCTTGTGGGATTCGCCGTAGAGCTTTGTGTAGCAAGTGACAAGAAGATTAAGAGTCTCTTCACGCATGGTCATAATCTCGGTCTTGCTCTCCGTAACGCGGCTCACGGTCAGCTCTAGGAAAATGTTGGCCAATTGTGCCGTGAAAGACGGGCTGTTGACCAGCAGTTCGCGGCTCAGGCGGGTAGCCTCGAACAACAGGGGTGTCGCCTCCGGGATATATTCAACGTCGCGGAAAAATAGCGCGAGGTTGATGATGGACTGAAGAGTGACCCTATCCTTGGGGTTCAGAATTTGGCGGCAAATAGTAGTCACCGTGGTCTGGTAGGTCAACAGCTCAGGAGTGGGTCTGTTGGCCCAGAGAGTCCTCTGAAGCAGGAGAACGGTGATCGAAGTCGGCATCACCTTGGCAAACTCCTTCGCGGCACCAGTCTCACCCTGGTTGACAAAGACGGTCGTTTGTCTCAGATGAGACACCCAATATTGAACCGCAAATTCAAGCAGAGGGTACCTGCTGACCAGCGAATCCGATTCGTGGCCGATAAGAGGGGAAAGAGACGGCTCCTTGCCCTGCGGCTCAGTCACGTACGACTTGATATAGATCAACAACCTAGTCACAAAGTCGGCGTGACGGTCCTTGACGTTGGGGATCAATTTGCCTTTGGTGAAGACCTCCAAGACCGCTTCGCGAATGAGACCGTGACGAAGATAGACCTGCCCGTCCTGGAAAAATACCAAAGAACTGACAGGCCTAAGGACCTTGCGTGGTTCGATCTGGTAGCCCTCGGCAATTGCCAATTTGTCGATCTGGATAGAGGCCAGAGTCTGCAATTCCTTAAACAGAAGAGGGCGGTCAGCTGTTGCGAGCCACAGCAACATCAGGCGAGCCTCGTCGGTTACGCCCTTGTGCTGCACTGTTTCGAGGACGAGGTTGGTGATGGTCATCTTAGCGTTCACGACATCATCCACCGCCTTGTTCAGGTTATCGGCATTGTCCGCGCTGCGAACGCGCTTCGAGGCAAGCTTGGCCCACAGGAATGAGCCCTTTGAGGCTTCGGTGATGCGATCCACAATGGACTCCTGCTCAATGTCATCAAGCTCAGGGAAAACAACGCTCTCCTTGGCCTTAAGGAACTGGCTTCGCACAACGGTAGCAATGTCTTCGAAAATTCGCTCATCCGTGACCGGCACAGTGTGATGGCCTGGTGCCTTGGCTGGCGTCTCGGCACCCAGGGTGATCAACTTCACGTTTGTGCCCTTCATTGTGGCAGCGCTCAGCTTCTGCAGCAGTGCAGATTCACCACAGGAAGCCTCGTCGATGCCATCAACAACAATGACAAGATCCTTGGCACCTTGAAGTGCAGCGCCCAACGCATTTTCCAAAGCATTCCAGAGGATGTTATCGTAATCATTATCATTCGTAGCCTTTTTGCTGCGTTGGAAGGCATCAGTCAGAATTTGGAGCAGCTCGACGTTTCCAATGCGCTTCTCGAATAGCTGCGACAGAATGGCCTTGACGATAGCCCGGGGCCTAGTTCCGGCAGGAAGACGAGCATCTACATTATGTTAGTAAAGTATGGATCAGAAAGATTAACCTCTGATTGGACTTACTAATGGGGACAAACAGAGTCTTGTAGGGAACTCCGCGGATCGCGTGTTGCAGATTGTCGACAAGAACAGATGCCAGAACGGTTTTACCAGAGCCTGGCTTGCCCACGATAGACAGAACCTTGTTTTCGCTTGTTACGAAGTCAAACAGAGCTTGCTTGACCCAGCGGCAGGTGTTCTCCTCGCGGTCATGGGCAAGGTGTGAGACGGTTTCGGCAACGTTGGAGAGGACACGGTCTTCGGGGTTGAGCCAGGATCTGACAGCCCTAACATCGGCGACTGGAGGTTCGGACAATGTCAGTTTATGTTTTGATATCAGAAAGAGGGAAGAAAGCCTGCCTTTGGTCTCATCACCGCGTTCCTTCACCAGCTGGTGCTTCCACATGGACTCGCTAATCTCTTCGCAAGCACGGCGGAATTTGTGAATTTGCTCCGGGAAAGCCTCGTAGATATTGATGTATTCCCACTCATCCCCTAGGCGGAGAACGGCTTTGCGGAAGTGCATGGCCACACTGGCGACCAGGTGCACCAAGTCCTCCAGTGCCTGGACCAGCTGCCGGCGGATATCACTGCTCACACTGAAAAGCCCGGTCCGTTCAAGAAGGTTTCCAAGGGCTGTGGAGTTGCTGTAGAAAAAGCCAAAGGATGTCATCAAAGCGGAGGCATTCTCGTCACCGAGCTAGAATGAACGACCATCAGCGTGATCCTCATATTTGAGATCAGGCGAGCATACCTTGAGAAGGAGAAGGCAGTATCCGTAAGCCATCTGGAAGGCAAGGCCGCTGACGTTGGTGAAGCCCTCAATAGCCTCTTCGAAAGACCGGAGTCTAGTAACGAAGAGCTGTGCCCAGCCGAGGACCTTGTCATAGTCGCTTCCGTCGGGGGGCACAAGGGTCATACGCTCGTCCTGGATCCAGGACAGGACCATCTCATAGGAGTCACCCGAGATGGTCAAGCCCAGCTCATCACCGGTCTGGCGCTGAAGGATAGACAGTTTCCGGGAGAATTCCGACTCCTGAGGGTCGAGCCTGCGGGAGGACACCCTTCTGGAAGTAATTGAGCGAGACATGCCATTGTTGGACATTGTGTCACTCTCCGCGAATCCCGAAATACGTCTGGGCATCTTGGGGGAGAGCGGGGAAGCAAAGCTGCTAGGGACGGGGGACAGGATAGATGGGGCCATTGTGATTGTTTGAGTATCAGCAAGATCTGGTGTTTCTGTGGGCCTCGAAGGTGGTGTTTTCTTCACGGGAGAAGGAGTGCGAGTGAGTTGTGGCGACTGCTTGGGGTATCTGGAGGGTGTGACTGTAGGCCGTGGAGGAAGGTCAGGCTCAGCAGAGGTCTCTCCGGAAAAGCAGCGGCAACAACTCACTATACAAGAAAAATAGCGACGCAAAACGGCAACCTAACGCATGGAAGAACAAAGGCTTTGATTAAGAGGTTAATCCTCGTATCAATCTGAGAGAGAAAAAGAACTTTCTCTATGGGAGGAAAGGTCACTTAAATAAGTAGGAAAAGCAAAGAAAAAAGAAACCCTAGACAGGGGGTTGGATTGGGTTACCGGGGGCTGATGCAATGATGTGGGCTGGCGTGTGAGCACGATTCATGAGCGAGCAATAGTGGCAAGCTTAACCCCCCATCCACGATGATACCTCTTGCAGCATAGCGTGGCTGAAAAGAGTCTGATCCCGATGGGTCCCTCTGTATCTTTGGCCTCTCAGCACCGCCAGAACGGCTGAGAATTCCAAATCAAAGTTTCTTTCGGAGGGGACCAATAGAGAGATTGCTGTCAATGGGGTTGCAAAACCCATGTCTTCGACTCTTTGCATCCCCTCTGACGATCAAAGTTTGGTCTCCATGGCATTGACATCACGAATGCAGGGTATTCGCCGCTGGGCACCTGCAAAGGGAGATGGAGGGGGGACAGCTTCGTGATGACACGATGGGCGTATCAGAAAGGAAGGTGAACCCTCAGCGCAGTGCATCCCAGCCTACTGCATATCGACTACTGTCCCATTTCTTGACCATGCGGACGGGATGGGCAGTGGAGCAGCACAGGCCAGTTTGGACGAGTGCAATGTCACTCTCCACATTAGCACCGGTGTCCCGGGACTTTCTGTCATTCAACACGGGCCATATCCCGTATGGTGCCCACACCCACGAGCAGCGGCAGGGGCAGGCGAATAAAGCTCACATTGGGTCTCGTGAATTGCTCGTGGCGGCCGTTTCCAGCTACTTTGACCAGCAACTCGGAGTCTCCGCTGGACTAGAGCTGAGCTTCTCCTTGTGCTAGTTACCCCTTCTGGCTGCATAGTCTATTGAACAGCTATGATCCTTGCTAGGGCAGGATTTCAGCTGTGGCTGCCTGAGGGGTAGAGAGAGGACCTGATCTCCCGACTGGGGCGGAGGGGGCTGGATGGGCCCAAACTCTTCGATCGGGGCCAATGGCAACGAACGAGAGTCGGACAGTGGGCAAACTCGCATCGTCCTGACGAACTGCCGATCGAGAGGACGAACGCGGATTGGTTGAATCCTTCTCGGCTGGCAGGACTAGATGTGATCGTCGTGGTATGTAAAGTCGATACCATGCCAGTATTCTGTATGTTAGAATTAGTTCGGCTACTCAGTAGGCAGAGAAGGTTCCACCGGGCTGAAGACGGTTGCCTACCTCGGACAGAACAATCGGTTTAATCGTCAATCTGAGCCGGTGAATACATTTTAGTTTTTCTTGTCTACCGGAGTAACTATGTCGATGCACGATCTGGTCTTCCATCCAAAACCGGTGCCAACACCCTTGCCGGGCGCTGGATAATTGGGGAGTTCCATGGTTGGCAAGCACATACAGACTCCCGGCTGAGGAACCGCCCCGGCCCGCTTAGCGCGGTGGGTGCACGATCCGGAACCTCCGCAGCAGCCAGTGCTGAACCTGTATGTAATTTTGGTTGATGACCAAACAGAGCTGTTTTAGCTCAGGAGAGTGTGGAAGCGTCTGATCCTGACCAAGTTGGGATTGACGTTCCTGATTTGGCCAATGTGCAGGCCGCGTAGTCCCCGACGCACCAGGATGGAACCCCGAAAATTGCAGGCAGGAGTCATGATTAGCCGGATCAAGAGGGATACATTAGTTTCATGGAGCCCGTGGGATCTCGGGGCAATAAGCAGATCTGATTCAGCCAGGAGGCATGAAGGGTGGGTCGGTATGGATGGACGGAAGAATCTCGTCATTCAGCTGGAAGGAGAGATCGGAGATTCACAATGGCTGCAATCCGCGCGGGTGGATAATTTTGACTCCCACGTGACGGTTCAGCGAGAAGGCTCGATCCAGTTATCGGTAAGGGACACGGCGCCATTGCCGGTGTCTCGGGGAGAAAAGCGGACGGAAGTGACTGAAGGGGAATATTGCAAACCCATCAAAGGGTGACAGGCACTTGAAGTTGCCAAGTGGTGGATTCATGACCTAAAGTTTACTCCATAGTTCGTGCCTTGTTCTGTCAAGAGGGGAGAGATGTTCGAATCGTCATGGCGAAGCGACCGAGGACGGACCAAGGAACGAAAGCACGGGATCCATCCCTGGCGGAAGCGATCGATCCTCGTCGTGCCTGTTGCAGTCTAGCGTCCGAGTGGTTCCAGTAATGCGGGAACCAACACTGACCCTGACAGGCCCAGCCTGTCCTGTCCGCATGTTCATCCAACTTTCAAAGTGGAGATGATTTCTTATGAGCGCAGGATGGGGTATACACTATACAGTATCTTCTTGCCACACTTTGTTCCCAGGACTCCGGCACTCACCATGTCCTTGATGTCGATCATGTCGGAAGAACTGAAATCTTTTCCTGCTAGCTACAGCAAAGCGCCAAACTTACCTCGCGTCTGCGTCGTCTACCATTCCCTACCTACAGACGGGATACCACCAACAGCAAGGGGTCCACTTACTTGCAGATGCTCCAGTGCTCGAGCAAAATTCAATCATTGATTCAACTCAGCTACCCCACTCGCAAAACTCCGGCTGAACAGGAGGACGCCATGCTCGTGGCTACTGTGGGAGGTACTCTCGAGTACTGCTGTGGTTTGCAGGCAGACAGGACATACCCAGTTTGCAAGAATTGGGTGTCGCTGATTCCATTGAAACCATCAATTGTATGCAACCACATTAGATAAGTTTGATGGGTGGTGTTCTGCATAGAATGCGTCAACTGTCAATTAGTAGAATCAGGTTACACAAAGATCACGTCGAGTGACTGCTGCGGCAGCCGGTGCAGACAGAATGCAGATGCAGACAGAACGCAGATGGAAATGGAGGTCTCGCGTGGTATTTGCTAGCACTGGAGTGCCCGGCAGCAGTCACGGCAAGTATGGATTCAGCATTCCAAACCACCCGCCCTCTAGACTATCACACACTATCTATCTACTTCACTTACAGAAGATCATCCAAGGTGTTACTAGGATCTCATAGTGAGGCAAATGCTCAATCTACGCTAATTGTAGAAGATTATATTTGTCCTCCAGTAATACCCCGTATTGGGAAAGAACATGGGTGTGATCATGGGTGCGATCAACATTTCGGAGTCCCCGTATACCCATTTTGAATATATATCTGCACCTCAGAATACAATGGATGCATCGTCGTAATGCTCGGCTAATCCCCCATCTTGATCCGAAGATCCAGCAACTTTGTCTAGAAAAAAGCAATATATCCTATTAAAAACTTTATGCTGTTTTCACAAACCCATAGTGGTGAGTATCCGCGATCGCTCATCAAAAGGAATGCAACCTAGTACTACAGTACGGAGTACATACGCTGTAGACAATAGTATATATCAGAAGTACCCTGCCAATAGACATACAATACTTACTCACGTATCGAATACACCACAATCGTATACTTCCGTAACTATCAGCTATTTCCATCTCGGATCCTGTCACATCCTTCCCCATCAAAAGAAGCAAAACTTCGCGACGACGCTAAACCATCGCCGTTTCAACGCTACTGCTGGACCAGCACTATCTATGCAACCCCAAAACACTGCCTCCACAGTCAGACGCACAAGTCAGAATGTAGCCTTCAGTCCAGCATAGCACAAATCCTAGCGCTGTCCCATAAATGGGTCAGACTACCGTAGCTAGTAGATTAATATAATATCTGACTGATCGCCCCAATAGATTGAAGTAGATTAAGCTGAGTCTACCCCTTACTTAGTCACCTTTTCCCTCCACCAGACGGGATTTCTTCGGAATTCGAATCCATTCAACATCATAAGTGTGCGATCCTCAATTTCTCGCCGTGTAATAGTGTGGTGCTTGGTGGCTGCCTTGACGTGTCATTCTGGCCGGCATCACCGCGGGAGGCGCAATCAGCTGGATGGGGATGGATGGTTGGACCTTTGGGGCACCAAGGTGCTTAGGATGGATGCTGTGGGTGTGATGCTGAACCCCGGGTTGGTTGGCTGGCTGATCGCCGGGTCTAGATGCCGACCAGCTCGTTTGCTTCTTTACTAGGTGTATAATGGTTGTCGCTGGATGTACTATTCCACGGAGTCGCCGAATCTCACAATAACCACCATTATTATTATTGACAGGTCCCTCGGTCGGATATATCACAAAAAGAAGCATCCTAATAAGCCACCGCATTCAACGCATGTGGATGGTATCCGTGACTGCGAGCAACCAAATCGTCGAAGTTATCGACGGTCTCCTTCATGACATCTGTACCTACAGTAACATAACAACCACCCGTCAGTATTGCATCTTCAGAACCACCGCATTAATCAGAATGGCACAAACTCACCCCACATGAAATCTTGCCAGGATTTATCCGCCCAAAGATCCGGATTCTTCCCAGGGCCGCGAATAGCCTCGTCGCGCTTGCGCTGTTCCTCGCCATCCGGCAAATGCAGCGCTTTCCGGGTCACTGCCGCACTCTTCTGAATCTGTTCGGCGCGATCCTTTCGTACCCGCTCATAAACCGCCAATGCGCTATCGATATCGTCCGTCAAGGCCAATACACACCCGAGCACCCCAGCATCTTCGATCGCCTGCGCCGCTCCCTGCGCCACATACGGCAGCATAGGATGGCACGCATCTCCCATCAGAACCACGCGGTTCTCAATCCACGTCGGCAGCGGGAAATGCGAGTTCAGCGTCCACTCCATCACCTCCCCATCCGGAACATAACTCAATAAATCGCGAACGAGTCCATTCCACTCGGAATAAAATTCCTCCATCTCCCGCTTATCTCCCTTATTTGTCCAGCTTTCCTCCGTCTCCGCGCCTTCTTTCTGCGGATGCAACAACACCATATTATACACGGTGTTATTCTTCATCGGATATGCCATAATATGGCCTCCCGGTCCCATCCACCGCATCCCAACATTCTTCTTCAGTAACTCCCGCGCCCGCGGATCCCCCTTCATTTTATCCTCAGGGATCTGGATCCGGTACGCTGCATCCCCAGTCGGCTGACAAATATCCTTCACGCCATGTTGCGCCGCCATTTGGTGTCGCAGATCGGACTTGATTCCATCCGCCCCGATAACAACATCCCCGGATACCCATTCCCCGGTATGAAGCTGCACGCGCGCCGAGAAGTCGGGCGCCGCACATACGACCCGCGAGTCAGTTCGAATGGGGATATTTTCCGACCGTACCGCCTCAAGCAGGATACCCTGCAAGTCGCCGCGATGGATGACGGCAAGGGGAGCGTGATACTTTTCTCCGACCTACACACATTAGCCACCCCCCGCAATGATCAAAGGTAAAAGATATGGTATAACATACAGAAGGCATCAACTCCGCCTTCCCCAATTCCTCATCATTCTTATACCGTCGGAGAGAATTCATCTCCAACACGTTCGCCTTCTCCATGACCTTCTCCAGTAGACCCAAGCGACCGAGAATCCGCGCTGCATTCGGCGCCATCTGGATGCCCGCCCCGACCTCGGCGATTTCCCGCACCCGCTCGAGGATGGTCACTTTGTGGCCGGTTTTATGTATCGCCAAGGCGGCGGAAAGGCCTGCGATGCCGGCGCCGACGATGAGGACATGCAGGGGTTGGCCCTTGATGCGGGGAAGCTGAAAGGTGTCTTTGTAGGTATCCATGATGACTTCGTAGTATTGTGAATAGTGCAGGTAGGTACGATTTCCAAGTTATAGTAATGAGAGGTAAGTGAGTTGAGTGTACTTATACAAAACCAAAGCAGTGACATCATGGCTACCAATACAATCCTACTACCCCTTGTGCAATATCAGTCGGTTAATACATCGGTAGTACCTCTCAACATATCTTCCTCTATCCATGACGCCGTACCTAACTGAGCTTCCTCACTCGGAACACATCTCGGGAGTCACACTTACAATAACCCCCCAACATAGCTCCACAGCTTCATAACAAGCAAAGACTTCCATATTCAAGATCATCATCCCGAACCTGACAGTATCTAGATGTGGAGATGCGGATCGCCCGGAAGGAATTTGACTTCTTACTTTTGTCATAGAGTTATCGGCACCCGAGTTCGGGAATGTATGTTTGCTGTGTTTGGGTATGATGTCATTCCATATTCAGCATCTTGTATCTATGATCGGACTACAATCCGGATGGAATTGAAAAGAATTAATAGTATAGTGGAGCCCTTGAAGCTGAATTTGTTATCTTCATATATGTTAAAAAATAGAAACGCGGGTCCCTGTTACAGTAAATTAGGAGTCAAGGACTTGTCTTCCTAGGAAGGTGACAACATGTATGACTTGAACAGGAGATGTATCTTGCATTGAAATGTAGTAGTATCTTCAAAATAAAATTAAAAACGCAAAAGGATATATATACGCCAGTCGGAATACATGAACATGAAGCCAACGCCAAACCATTCACTCCGCCGAACGTCCTCCATACTTTAATCTACTAACCAAGCATCACAACTGCTTCTTTCCCCCCTCAAACACCAACCCATCCAAATTCCCATGTTCCGCAAACCATACATCCTTCAAGTAATTTCCCCTTGACACCCACGGCCCCCGATCTGCCGCCTTGGGCAACGCCCCCGACGCGCGGGTGATATACGTCGAATTTAAATTCAACAGCGGCCGCTCCTTCAAGCTTCCCGCCTCACCCGGCTGCAACCGTGGAACAGCCGTCTTCACACCAGCCGCCTCCAAGTGCTTCAACAGCCGACAGATAAATAACGCCGTAGCATCGGCGCCCAACGTCCACGACGCATTGGTGTACCCGATCACGAATGCTGCATTAGGCAGATCCTGCATCATCATGCCATGCCAGAGGAACTTGCTGGGGATGTGGATGGGTTCACCATCGACCGTGACGGAGGCGCCGCCGGCAATAAGCAGTCTCAGCCCTGTGGCTGTGACAATGATGTCCGCATTGAGGGAGTCGCCGGAAGAGAGCTCGACCCCGGATTCAGTGACGGTAGAGATGGTGTCGGTTTTCACGTCGGCGTGGCCGGTGTGCAGGGCGCGGAAGAAGTCGCCGTCCGGGCAGATGCAGAGACGCTGATCCCAGGGGTTGTAGCGGGGTTTGAAATGCGGGGAGTGGGAGACATGGGCGGGGAGTTGGCTGGAGACGGAGAGACGGAGAAGGAAGCGCGCGACTGTAGGAAAGGTCCGGCAGAAGAGGAAGAAGAGGTGGCCGCTGATGAACCAGGTGATGCGCTGGATGCGGCGCGAGATGGCGGCGGGTAAGATGTAGCTGTACCACGAGCGGTTGCGGTTGGGCAGGGAGAGGATATAAGTTGGGCTGCGCTGCAGCATGGTTACTTGCGCGGCCTTCTCGGCCAGCTTGGGAATCAGAGTGATAGCAGTGGCACCGGAGCCGACGACTACGATCTTCTTATTGCTGTAGTCAAGGTCTTCGGGCCAGAATTGAGGATGGATGACTTCCCCCGAGAAGCGGGAGAGGTTCGGGATATCGGCTTCGAGAGGTTGTCTGTAGTCGTAGTAGCCGGTGCCGAAAATGACGAACCGTGCAGTCAGGGCGCGTGATTGCCCGTCATGGTCGACGGTCAGGGACCAGAGCTGGTCGGAGGAGGACCAGTCGGCGCCGAGGAGGCGGTGCTGGTAGCGAATTTTCTTGTCGATGCCAAATTTGCGAGTGGCGCGGTGCATATATGAGCGGATGGAGGAGGCCTCGGCGATAGGGCTATTACCATCCCAGGGAAACCACGAAAAGCCGAAGGAAAAAAGATCGGAGTCGGAGCGAATGCCGGGATATTTGAAAAAATCCCAGGTGCCGCCAAGAGCATCGCGGGCTTCTAGAATAGTGTAACGATAGTTGGGAAATTGAGATTGAATGCGATATGCTGCATTGATGCCGGAGATGCCGGCACCGACAATAACAACGTCTAAGTCAGTCTCCATGATGGAACAAGAGCGGTATGATGATGGTGGATGATGGAATGAGCGGTCGTACAGGCTACTTATAACGAGGCATGCAGCTCACATGGCCTCGGCTGCAGATGCAGCGCAATGATGAGTCCGAGGCTATCCTGATAGATCGCAACCGCCGGCCGTTGGGGCATCAAAAATGGACCTGACGATCAGCGGCCGATCCCTCCCAAAACAGCAACCCTTGCGACCCTCACATGCGATTGAACCGAATCGGCCTCTTGGATCTTTTGCAATTCAGACTGGGTTGACACAGTGGCCCGTGAAGACTTAAACTCGGCGTCGCACAGCCAGGATGTAGCCATTACTGTAAACAGCACTCTCTAGAGGTACTAGTAGTTATCCTACCCGATATGATTACTCCCAAAATCTCGCTCTCTTTGGCGGAGAAACTGGACTTGGTGCCAGCTCTTGCGTCAATTACTCTGACAGTTTTCTGGGCTCTCCTAACCTCCCTTTGGCGTTCTGCCGCATATCCCAAGACATTGGTGCTTCATATTGGCTATGCAGCATTCCGCAAAGCCACGGCCCGCATGACAGTGGCCCAAATGCAGTATGTTACTCCGCAACCAACCCCGACAATGCCCATGTCCACTAACAATGCAGGTATGCCCTTCCTACCACGGACCAGAACTACGAACGTTACGTCCGGAAGCACAAGCTACCCTCCAATACAGTAGACTTGGGTGACGGGGCTCTGGGACATTGGATCGGGGACCCGAAAGCGGACAATATCTTGATTTGGTATCACGGTATATTCATCCCCTCCTTCCCCTTCCATCGTCCCTTCCCTACAACCTCCCACTCACAAAACAAATATAGGAGGCGGCTTCGCCCTCCCCGCCAACAGAGGCTACTTTCAGTTCTTCTTGAACCTTATAATTCATCTGCGGAACTATCACAACAAATCGCTCTCCATCTTCACACTAACCTACACTCTCGCCCCGGGGGCACTTACCCAACGCAACTCCGCCAAGCGACCTCCGCCCTCCGCCATATCCTGACTACTCACTCCCCATCACAAATCCTCCTCGGCGGGGACTCCGCAGGCGGGAACCTAGTCGGTGGAGTCCTCTCCCACCTCGCTCATCCGCACCCTCAGATCGCCCCTATTACTTGTGAAGAATCCCTCCGCGGAGCCATCATGATCGCTCCTTGGACTAGTCTAGCTTCGGACTACACCGACCAGGAGATTGACTCGCGCGGGGATCTGATCACCCCCGCTGTTGCGGGGCCATGGGCGCAGGCGTATCTTGGGTCCGGGGAACGGGACCATTATACGGATTTGTCGAGCGCACCGGCGGAGTGGTTTGAGTCTTTCCCCGTGGAGAAGGTGTTGGTTTGTGGTGGCGGGAGAGAGATTCTGTTGCCGGTGATTGAGGGATTTGTGGGGAAGTTGAGGGAGGGATTCAAGGGGGAGATGGAATTTTGTGTTGGAGAGGGAGAGGGACATGTGGCGCCGATTTATAATTTGTATATTGGCGAGAAAGAGGAGACGGGGCAGGGGATGAGGGTGAGGGGGTGGTTGGGGGAGACTTTGTGACGGCTGCAGTGTATATGTGTATGGCCGGAAAGGAGTATATATTGTTGGCAGGGGACAGGTTTGTTGTTGGTATAAGTTCAGTTGTAGTATTTTTTTTTTGTGACACCATTTGAATAATACATATGCAATGAGACATGAAATTGTTATATTTTGAGATAGGTCAAGATGAGATGCTACGTAGCAGGCAGTATGTGCCCTGAAAGGATTTGGACATATCATATACACTTTGACCAAGTAGCTACACCGTTTCTTGTTCTAACTCCATCAATAAACTCAACTCATGCAATGCATCAAACACAAATCATCATATTAACATTATACATGAATAGCCTAAACTCCACAAACCAAATAAGCCACTATTTACTAACATCATTCTCTTTCTGCCACGCTCTCAACTTGACCAAATCCTTCGACGCCAACCCCCTCGCCGTCTCCTGCAACCATGTCGGCCACGCCCGCACCAAACTAATCCACCACAATGATTCAGGTAAAACAAGCTGTCCACTCTTTCCTGAGATAATCTGCTTCGCAATAGTACTGCCCACCCTCTCCACCGTCAAAACAGGCTGCTTAAATTCCTTCCCAGCATCTGTGAGCTGCTGAATCATGGGTGTGCGCACCCACAGCGGATGAACCACACTATGCACTATTAGCCTTCTTCCCTGTATCGAAAAGAGAAAAAGAGAAGAAAGCTTACCTCGTCTTCACACCCGTAGTCTTATGCCAATACTTCAACTCTTGCCCCAACCCCTCATGGAATGCCAAGGCACTCGCCTTCGAACAGCTATAATCCACAATCTCTCCGAGCGACATGAAACTAGCCTGACTAGCCACCGTCACCACGTGGCCATGGTTTCGCTCAATCATGGCGGGGAGAAACTCCTTCACAGTGAGAAAGTGCGAAATCGTGTTCACTTCGAAAGTTTGTCTAATTTTGGCCTCGGGTTCGTCGAGGATCGTCGCGTCGTTGGCGACACCTGCGTTGTTAACAAGGACTGTGGGATGGCCGTGCTCGCGCCGGATTTGTTCTGCTACGGGGTGCAGTGCGGCGGAGGAGGTGATGTCTGCTTTGTAAAAGTGGACGTTGGGTGCTGCTTTACATTAGTAGCTGATTTTTTTTTTTTTTTTGGCATACGATGTAGGGAAGTGAGCGTACGGAGTTTGAAGGTGGGTTCACTAATGTCAAGAATGATGACTTTCGCGCCATGCGAGGATAGTTCTGTCATGACTTGCTTGCCGATGCCACTGCATCCGCCAGTTAGGAGAACGAGTTCCCGGGCATTGTCCCATTTCCGGGTGCTGAAGTTGCTAAGGGATAGCGAATTGAGGGCGCGGTTGGTTTGGCGCAGAGCAGTGAAAGCTAAGAGAGCAGCGAGTGCTTTAGGGACCAGCGGGTGCAGCAATGCTTGCTGTGCTGGAGGGGGCAGATTGGCCAGGGCAGTTTGAGTCCATTCGTGGACAACAGGAGGGATGAATGACATGATGGTGGGATGCGATTCTATTGGTGGTGACTTGTTCAAGGTACCTTGATCAAGCTAAGATAAGGTAAAATTGTGGCAGCCCCTGCTATATATCCCCTTCTATTGATGGCCTCGGCTCACATGGCTGAAGATTGTGGCATAAATGCGGCATTCTGTACATTCCACAAACTGAGAACTCCCCAAACGGGAAATCGTTGCGATTGATCCGCGGTTAACTTTCGGACAACAAAAAATTGCGGAGATGTTGATCCACTGGTTTGCATTGACGCCGATCAACGGTGCCGATCCCATGTGATTTGTGTCCTATCCCCATGAATAAGGTATTGGGGTAGAATATACTCCATATCTACTCCGTAGTAGCCTATCTGATAATGTTGAGCGATGAGGGGTTAACTAGGGCTGATCGTCGGCTTATGGCAACCGAGGCAAGACAGACGCACTTCGGTTGACCCTGGATGATGTCGATCCTCATACTCTTTTTCCGACTGCCATATTTCTCCTCAACAAGATTTTCATCTTGAAAGTATTCTCTGCGATGTCTGTCCAACATTGTATCACACCATGGACTCTCTCGTGCTGCTGGCAGCGTCCCTCGTAGAGGGCTACCTTCTTCAACACAGTTTACTCCCCGACTGGGCCTTTCGCAGTGTGACACTGCTCGCACTGGCAGGCAATCTTATTCTCCGATTTGTCTGGGGGTTCATTATCTATCCATACTTAGTGAATCCATTGCGTCATCTGCCTACTTTACCGGTATACTTTGTACTCTACCTTCTCATTGCAATACCAGTCACTGAAAGCTCTAGGGCAACCTCAACCATGCGCGCGTCCTCTTCGACGACCCCCGCGGCCGTCTCCCACTGCAATGGATGAAAACCATCCCCAACAATGGCCTCATTCATTTCCGCGACATTCTCAACCGCAGCTTCTTGATCGCCACGAACCACCAGGCCCTCCTGGACATCATGAGCACCAACACGTATGACTTCGAGAAGCCCTGGCGCACTCGCGAATTTCTAGCACGGATCATCGGCTTCGGGCTGATTCTGTCCGAAGGGAGTGCACATAAGAAGCAACGTCGGGCGTTGACGCCGTCGTTCAACGTCCGGCATATTCGTGCGCTGTATGGGCTGATGTGGGAGAAGACGGGGTTATTGGTGGATGAGCTGCAGAAAGAGATGGATGCGAATGAGTCGTGTGTGGAGATGAGTGTTTGGGCGAGGTACACCATCCCCTTTACTTTTCAGCAGCCAACATCCCACCTTTAGAAATACAATACTAAGCGACGAATAGTCGTCTAACACTAGATATCATCGGCCCCGCCGCCATGGGCCGCGACTTTCGCTCGCTCCATAACCCCGAGAACAAAGTCGCCGACAGCTTCCTCGCCATTTTGGAGCCAACCCGCGAAAAGATTGCCTTCTTGGCAGTCAACGTTCTCCTCCCGCAGTGGTTTGCCCGGAAACTGCCATGGCGCATGAACAAGGTCATCGACACAGAGACAGGCTTCCTCCGCGACCTGTGTAAGGACATTGTAGCAGAGAAGAGAGCCGCGATGCTCCAGACGAAAGCCACGGCCGCAGAACTGGAAGCGGACATTCTCGGCACGATGATGCTAGGGGGTGACTTTAGTGATGATGAGCTGGTTGATCAGATGCTGACGTTCCTTGCTGCTGGTGTATGTCTTGGCTTAACCACCACCCTGATCCCTAAAATCTATGAAGGGCATATATACTAAATAGAAGACAGCACGAGACCACCGCCAGCGCCTTCACCTGGGCCTGCTACCTTCTCACGCTACACCCAACATACCAGCCCCGTCTGCGCGACGAGATCCGCTCCCGTATCCCAACAGGATCGTCACCTATCACCCACGCAGACCTTGAATCCCTGCCCCTACTGAACGGCATCGTCCAGGAGGTCCTTCGCCTGTATCCCACCGTCCCGCTGACTCTGCGCGAATCCATCCGCGACACTACCGTCGCCAATACCGCCATCCCGAAAGGAACGAGGATCCTCCTCTGTCCGTACGCTATTAATCGCAGTCCAGAGTTCTGGGGCGAGGACGCGGATGTGTTCAGACCAGAGCGATGGGTGGACACAGATAAAGAGGGAAATCAGGTGGTGAACGGACATGGAGGAGCCGGGACGAATTATGCCCAGATAACGTTTTTGCATGGGCAGAGAGCGTGCATTGGGAAGGACTTTGCTAAAGCGGAGTTGAGGTGTGCATTGGCGGGAGTGTTGGGGAGGTATGAGGTGGAGATGAAGGATCCAAACCAGGTCATTCATATTGCTGGAGCGGTTACGACGAAGCCAGTTGAGGGGATGCATTTGAGGATGAGGAGGGTGGAGGGATGGTAAATGCCTGTTGATATGGGATGAGAGTATATAATTTTATAATTTATGCAAATAGTTACTTTTGTTAATACCAGTCTATATTTAGTCAACGCATCACTTCTTGACCACTGGTCGACTCTTATGTCCCGGTCCATGTGCATGAGAATGCCCATGAGCATGGCCATGTCCATGACCATTTAACAGCTCACTCGCCTTCCTCTTCCCACTCTTCTCCCCCTTCACCTCCTCCTCATCTTTGATATCATCATCCTCCAAATCCGGCCAATCCTCCCATCCATCCTCCCAAATCCCCGCCATGATCTCCTGCTTCTCTGCCCTCTTAACACCCTTCGTCCGCATCACCTTCTCCCACTTCTTCATCTCCTTTTTGTCCAACAGACACTCATCAAGCAGCTTTTTAATCGCCGTCGTATCAATACCCTCACCAATGAACACAATCTCCTGACGCCGATCGCCCCATTCGCCCTTGAAGTCATCTTCAATGGACTTGCGCACGTCCGCATCCTCCGGCCATGCTTCGTCAGGTAGTTCGGCGAACCACCCGCCACCACAGCCTAATGTCAGCATGGCGCCGGCCTGACTCCATTCGCCGAATTGGTATGGGCGGGTGGCGAGCCAGAAGAAGCCTTTGGAGCGGAGGATGGGGGCGAGGATGGGGTCGGAGCGTTTGTTGGACAGGATGGTTTCGGGTGGGATGGAGGTGATGTCCTCATCATCGTTGTCGTCGTCTTCTTCCTCCTCTTCTTCCTCATCTTCGGTGTTGTCCTCATCTTCATCTTTCATCTCTTCATCATCATCATCTTCCTCCTCCTCGTCGTCGACGTCATCATCATCATCATCCTCCCCAGCCGCATTCTGCAAAATAATAAACTTATCATGCAGCAACTTGAACAGCCTGCGCGGATGAAACGGCCGTCTAGCCGTATACACAAAGTTATTAATGCCATACCTGTCCACATTAGCCAACGAACCTAATCATGAAACAGAGAGTGAAAAAAAAAAAAAGGAATACATACTCAAGCGTCTCCGGCCTCGGCGCCACCCTCTCCCCATTCCCCGTACTCAACCGACTCATCTCATGCAGACTCCTCAACCAACCGGCGCCACTCGCCGCCTTAACGAAATCAAACCTCCCCGTGTCCAGAATCTCCCGCACATCAATTTTGGAGTACTTCGCCTCCAAGACCTTCGCAGCAGGATTGAGCAATTTGATCAACGTGTGGATTTTGTCCTTGGCAACCTTATCAACAAGATCAATCTTATTGATGATAATCACATCCGCAAACTCAATCTGATCGACCATTAGATCGGAGATGGTTCTCTCATCTTCCGGGATGACTTCCCCAGAGGTATATCTATCTGAGAGAAACTCTGCGGTATCGAGGTTCGAGTAGAGATTGAATGCGTCGATGACGGTTACTGTGGTGTCGAGGGTGGTGAGGGTGTGTAGGCCGCCTTGTTTGACACTATACATACCAATCCATCATCAGCACGCGTCACTCATGTAAATAAGAAGATTGGGGGGGGGGGGGGGGGAAGGGACATACATATCCTCAATTACCCTCCTCTCCTCCACACTCAACACCTGCGGTTCAGCTCCACTCCCATCCCCATCCGCCTCTAACATCGCGGCCCCAAACTCCGCCGTGAACGTCTCAGCCACCTGCATCGGCTCACTAATCCCCGTGCTTTCGATCACGACGTACTCGACTCCATCTTGCGATGCGAGTCGTGCTAGCTCGGCGAGTAAATCCCCGCGGAGAGTGCAGCATATACAGCCGTTTTGCAACTGGATGAGGGATTCTTTTGTGTGTGAGACGGTGTGGTGGTGTTTGATTAGGGTTGCGTCGATGTTGAGACTATTTCCTTTTGTTAGATGGTACAGGTATATAGAGGGTGTGTAATGTACCTGCTCATATCATTCACTATGACTGCGATGCGGAGGCCATGGTCAGGCGAGAGGAGAATGTGTTCGAGGAGGGTGGTTTTGCCGCTTCCCTAGTTAGGAGCCATTATATTAGTTTTCTGTGGATTTGAGACTGAAGGGAGATGAGGAGAAGTACTAGAAATCCAGAAAGGAGAGTAACAGGCAGCTTTCTCCTCTTGGATGTAGGAGCTGGGCTCTCCAATGCATTGTCGGGGATTGCTGGGTGGAGGGATTCTTTGCCGGAGTCGATCATTTTCTTGATTCTTTGTTACTTTTTGAGAGATTGAGAAGGATCAAAATCAAATGGAGGAGTAAAGTAATATTGTCTACTTTATCTATGTTATATAGTTGTCACCACCAAGGTGTATATACTAATGTATACTACTTAGGGTTGGTTAGTTTTATCGACGTTGTGATTGGTTTGCACCCAAGGTCCTCTTGTCTACAAGGTAGTACTAGTAATTATTATGGTTTACCAGGGTACTCAGTGTCGTACTACATTGCGTACTTTACTAATAAGAGTAATGTAATCCGTAAATAAACATAGTTCTATTTGTTCTACTACTACCATATGTGACATAATCATCGACGGGAGGCTTTAATGGACCATGCGAGTATCTACCGCGTAACACTATCATCACTCACACAATCCACCCCAATTCCACCCTCGATGTCATCACACACAATCTCCGCAGTTCCCTTGGGGCTCGTTATATTGACATTCGACAGGGTAATATTCGTGCACACCGCATCTGGTGAACAGACCAGATCCGCCACAATCTTGCCATCTTTACCCGAGGAAGAACCCCAAATATTCTCAAACAAGATGTTGGTAATATTCACAGCAGACGGGTACTTGGCACACTCTGTAGCGTTAATATCAAAGTAGCACTGGTCCAACACGATCGGCGTATCCGTGTTCTGGATCTGGATGTTCTTGTACGTGACGTTATTGATGCGGCCGTAGCCGACGTCTTGGCCGGCCCAGGCTTTGAGACGGGCGCCGTTCTATTTCACATCAGTCTTGCAATATGGGTCAGTCGGTGACGAACGACGTACCTGTCCATTCAGCAACGTCACATTCTCAATGTACACGTTCTCAATGATATCCATCTCACCAGCGTACTCTCCAATACTACCCATACTCACGCCGTGCGTGTTGTTGCACCACATGTTCTGAACGAAAATGTTGGTCGTATTCGGCTTCGGCGAGAAGCAGTCATCTCCGACATCGATGCGCATATTGGTGAAACTGACACCGTCGACTTCGAGAGAGTCCATACCGTCGGTGTTGGCGGGGTCGGACTGTGACCAGTTAGAATTTATGCAATGAGGATCAGGATAGACGCCAGGGGAAATAGAACTGACCGAAGCATTAGTCGAAAACGCATGAATGTAAACATTATCAAACGAGACATCATTAGTGCGAACGAAAAAGTTTGTCCAGCACGGCGAGTTCAGCTGCGTGATGCCCTCGACCGAGACGCGGGTTGCATTATCGGTGAGGAAGAGGATGGGGCGGTAAAATGTGTTGTCCGAGTCCTATTAATATTGCCATTATCAGCATAAGCATATTCTTTCCTTGCAGGGAGGTATATGGATGTGACGTACCAAGATCTCCTTTCCTGCAAACTCGTCATACCATTTCTGCCCATTGCCGTTCAACACACCACTCCCGAAGATCTTGATGTCCTGACCACCCCAGCGCCAGAAGGTGATGGATTTCTGGAAGTCGTAGTAGAAGTTGTTGGCTTGCCAGTAGGTGATGTTGTTGGTGAACTACAAACCACTAGAGTCAGTATCCTATATCATAGCTTGTTTTCTCACTGATAAAGAGGAAGGAATGTACCTGAATCTCCCCTTCAAGCTGCACTTCAATATTATCCAAGAAGGTCAAGTCCAACTTCTTCCCGATCACATAGGTCTCCCCTCGTTTCAACAATAACCGACCACCATGGTTCGCCTGCTTCAAGCCCCAGAGGAAGTCACTGGACACATCGTCAAGTTCGTTCCTCGAGGGCCGAATAGTAACTGTCTCACGGTCTGGATACTTGGGATATTGAGCTCCAATGGCTTGTAGATGTGCTGTGTTGGACGCAGGGATGATTTGTGCGCCGGGGATGAGGGGAGATCTGGGGACGGAGACGCCGAAAGCGGCGGTGAGGAAGAGGGTTAAGGGGAGGAGGTGCATTTTGCAGGCTAATTCTTTTCTGCCGCTTGCTTTTTATCTCGGTTTGAGTGAAAGTAAAAGAGGCATCGATCGTCTATTATATATGAATCTTCTAGGTAGGTCTATCTGTATGTACTCCACATACATACGATCGATAACATCATAGCAATCTAGATAATCTGGGGAAGAATTTGGGGTAACCCCACGGGGAAACCAGGGAGAACAATTTCCCACCTGTCATGGTGATCTTGGCTGGTGCACGGGGTCCGCCTGAGCTGGCACAATTTCCCCGAATTGTCTGTGAGGCAGTTGGTGGAATTTCCCACCAATCGAGGGTGACTCACGATGATTTGGGTAATGGGTGAGAAATGGGGTGATGTGTTGGATTTTGTGGAGTGACTAGCTAGCTGTGAGGGTAGTAACTCATCATGGTGTACTAGTATATGTAGAATGAGCTGGAAATGCTGTTGTGTGGGTTTGCTGGTGGGATGATATCCTCCGTGGTGTGTGTAGGTATACGCAGAGAGGATTGCTGTATTGCAGCATAGCATGACTCAACTGTTCTGACAGCACAACTGTAACTATCCATATATTATTGCAGGAATAACTGGTTTTTTAGATTCTCACTAATATCTTTATTTTCATCATAACCTCTGTAGTACGTACCTGCCTGTCAAAGAGCTCAGATTTGATGCACATCGCTTCTATACAATTATCCAACTGTTAGAACTATACACCATGCCCTAAATAAAAAAATTACTTCAACAAAGTTAATAATCTAATGCATACCCCTTTCAAATCTAAAAGTATATTACACATTCCAATATATTCATAAATCAGCTCCCCCCAAAAACAAGTCTACCTCGGTCCAAACATCTATTTCCCCACTTAAACCCCCGCAGATCATTCCCAACAGGCGATCCCAATCTCCGAATCATCCCCACACACATCCACCCCCATCATCCATTCATAATTCCATCCCAAGATCAGAAAACCCTCACAATCCAGACAATTAGATCAATTCAACTTTCTCCCTCCCAACACCAAAGCAGTAATACAACTGATATTCCCAGACCACCACAACACCGACCGCGAAAAGCTCAACGTCTCCGACTCAATAAACACATACGCAAGTCCAAACAGGATCCTAGATATCGTGTACCATGCGCCGATACCGTTGATCACGTCGTTGGGGAGGCCTGTGTGCAATGCTACTACCACTATATTTCCTCAAGATACATACTTAGCGGTTGATCTATGATGCCAAAGAGGAACATTGGCAGTTGGGATAAAAGGTATAGTCACGCACCAGCCGCCACGAAAAGCGGAAATCCCTCGACGGCATTGGCATGCGCTGCCTCCTGCCGCTTGAGTCGATCCAACTGTCTGCGGGAGATTTTCCCCGCTTGCACGGCTGCCTCACCGTAGACTTTCAGGTCATCTCTGGGGGCGACGTTGTGGTCGATACGGAGGAGACGTTTCGCAGGCCGGGTGCTGAGGATGCCGTAGGCGTAGAACCAGTTGAAGAGGAGATAGGGGATAGCGCGGTTGGGAAGGTCGAGGCCTTCTGGGGCTGTGAGGCCGAGGATTGTGAGGAGGGAACTAACATCATTCTTTTAGTAGGGTGTACTGTAGTGTAAAGTGACGTTGGTTACTTACGACATAATTGTGGTGCTCGATTTGGAGATGTTTCTGCTGTTGAGATGGGAGAGATTATATACTAACTATATCTATGGAATGATCGGCAGTCATATCGTACATCATAGCCTGTCGGCTTCACATGAAACTTTCATCCTTGTTCGCAATAATTCGCTGTCCCAACGCCTCGGTACTACCAACCCTTATCTACAATAGCGCCAGAAAGTCCTGATCCCACATATCGGGAATCGCAAAGTCGTTGAGGTCGAATAGTGTCCCGAATTCAGACTGCGTCCATTAGCATCAATCACCAACATATGGTGAAACAAGAGAACTTGCCGTATCTAACCCATACGACGCAGGGTCGAATTGCATTTCCGGCGTCTCGAGATTCAACGATGGCGTAGCAACCGGCTACATCTGTTAGCATATATCAATTAAAAAACACGAACTGTACACCTACTGTCGATGTAGCCTTGGCTCGGACCGTCTCCCAGCTTGCTCCCTGCAACATCTGCTCGCTCATCTGCATACATCGCATTGCATCCTGCTCTAATGCCTTCTGCGGATCTTCCCCTCGCAGTCGCGCCTTCACCGATGACAAGGCAAGCGTCGGAAAAAGGAAAGCCTTCCCTCCCTTACCGTTTGGCGTCATTCGGCTTCCAAATGTTTCAATCGTTCGCTCGACTGCCCCGATCATGACCTCCTGCTGCGACCGTACCAGATCATTCAACGATGTCAACGCGCTGGACTGCATTGTCGATGTGTTCTGTGTGTTGAACTCGCCTGCCTGCAGGTACAGTTCCACGCATACCGTCAGAGCAGCGTGCAAGAATTCATCGCGGAACATTCCTCCGCTCAGCTGCCCCAGATGCGGGCTCACCTGCGAGCTCGCCGGGGGCTCGTGGTGAGAGAGGATCTCCAATGCGGAATCAAGGCAGATCTTCCGCGAGTAAGAGAATTTGGGCGACCGGATAATACTCAGCGCAAAAGGTCGATTCAGAACCAAGATCGACCGCCGCAACAAGAAAACCAACATTGACTGCGCGAATGACGGGCCCGGTCCGGCCTTCTGGAAGATCTCCAAGCCAAAGTGCATCAGTTGGATCAGCTCTTCGCTCAGCCGCAAGGCCTCATCATATGATATTGTAAGTTTCAGACTGTTAATGGCTTTGGCGATGCGGATTCGCAGGGGTAGCGACTGCAGAAGCAAAACCTGAAAGGTGCTTTGTGTGTATACCCCTATGTCTTTGGGAACGGGGTCATCGACCATATTTTCTGTCAGCTGGGAATCGTCCAGGTTAGAGGGCGCCTCGCAATCGTATTCGTCCAGGTCGATCGTAGGCGGCATACCGCCATCCAAGGATGACTGCAAGTCAAGCTCCAAAATGGTTGCCCACAGCCGCCGACGCATCTCGGCCCAAAACTTTGTCATCTTACCAAATCGATGAGGATCCCGATGCAGTCCCATGGTCATGGCAGTCCGTATGAGCGAGCCCGAGGAGATCCATATAATGTCCCCGTCAATAGCATCGGCCTGCCGTGCAATCATCAAAAGACACTCGATCTGCAAAATGTTGAAATCGATGGTCGAGCTGACCATCGTGAACGCAATCCACGACCGAACACCGGCAATCCATTCAGCGGCTGTTTGATACACCCTGCTCTCCCCATTGATTTTAGTGTTTGGGCTCAAAAAACAGCAACTGGCTGCCAACAACGCCAGAAGCTTCGCCACAAAAGACGGTTCTTTCGGCTGCACTCCCGCCCAGAAGTTTTCGTACTGCTCCAGGAAGGTTGGGATATGCAAGATACGGTGTGTCGTCTCGAATGTGGTCAGATACAAGTTGAGTAATTCGTCAGCAACTTGTCGAGGCGGAACCATCTCTTCCAGCGAGGGAGACTTTTGTTGATAGGCGCGCTGGTGCTCCTGTCGCTCTCGAGCCCATATCTCCCCCTTGAAGTTCTTGAACTTCTTGTAATTGGGAATTCTCTTCATCGTACTGCGGCGGCCCCGCATGAATTTGCCAACATCATCAAACTGCGGAAATTAGCACCATCCACGAATCAGCCATGGCACAGCACACACTTACAAAAGACAAAGAGACGGACGCATGGCTTCGTCCAACGAATCGCGTGCGGATTTTCTTCCCCCGAAAACAACACCGATCGGGAAGATCTTTCACATTGTCAATGAGATTCTGCGACTCCGGACCCGAACGATGCCCGATGTCTACCGAGTCACCACCCAGACTTTCTGGGGTGTGCATCGACCCAGTTTTGGAGAGAGCGCTTTCCAGGAACTGGATGCGACTGCGCAGTTCGTGCAACTCGTCTGACCGCGGTTTCGGCTTGGTGACCCTGTTGGTGGACTGGTGCTTGGAATCAAAGACGTAGACGCCCCCGTGCGCCGGACTGGCTCGACTGCTCGAGATACGCACGCGTTCTGGAGGGGTGCGGGAAGCGCTCCCCGACCCCGGCGCCTGGGGGCCAACGTAGATGCATTGATCTGGCGTTTTGGACTTGGTGCATTGCCCACATGGCAGAGAGCGGTCGCATTTTAACTTGCGACGCCTACAAATGGTACAAGATAGGGGTGGTCTGCGCCGTCGCGGCGGAGACTTGGGGGAGTGGTCTTCATCCATGGCCTTGTTGGATAGAGCGATGCTCTTGTTTGGCGGCGATGATGTGACTGATGGTGGTGGGTTGGACCGACCGTACCAAGTCACCTGATGTAGTTCTATCGGTGGTGGAGTGTCATGAAGTTGAAGATGAAGCGGAGGGCAGCGACCGGCAACATCAAAGTCTTATCTGATCTGTAAGGTTACGGCCGAGCCCCACGGGCTTCGCTGCCTGATTTGGTTCAGAAGGAGGACGTGGTCATTCAGGGAGTGTGGCACTTGATGGGCTTGAGTGGTTAGTGGCAGCCTGGAGGTACTTTTGATTCTTAGTAGTATCTAGTTAGTCGATGGTTTAGTCGGCCTCTTTTAGGAAGTCATCCGGGATTACTTACGCATCGGACTTGCTTGATGTGGATGTCCGAGTGCTCGGAGTTACGGTTTCTGGTTAGCTTTCCTCACATAAGCAGGTTTGTAGAAAAGGTAAGCAGTGAACTAAGGGGACCTTTTCTTGTTAAGTAGTCATCCCGGACAGTGTCTTTATATATTGATAAAAAACAGGTCAGGTTCTGTTTATACTGTATCTAGCATATAGAAGAAAGGGCGTCTCTTCTGGAAAGATAGTGGAGGGAACGGCAAGCATGACAACATCACATGCCGGCTCTAGTAAATCAATGGAACTCGAGACAATAACTAGAAATCATTAAAACTCAGTCATTGACTGGCGTGGTATTATCTCTATCACAGGGACATCGAACTGACCTCATAGCTACCAACCGTCGATAGATACCGTGAATAATGGAGCTGCTAAGCTAGAACAATCTGTTTTATCTCGGTCTTCGGGCCTAGCTAACCCCGAGCATAGTCAATACTCTCCTCGAAAGGATAATCCTGGAATTTTCCACGCTGATCTCGTCCGGATGCTATGCCTAAAAGGCTTCTAAATTTACAACACAGGCGATCCGGTTACAAAGTAACATGTTTCTTACCGTGATAGTCTGAGCCCACCTGTGGATCGTCCTGTCCCCTTCCCAAGCTCCCTTCCACTCTATTACCGACAGGTTCTGACCACTTCAATTGTATCACCATATTACCATATTGACTTGGCCTGTTCCTTCCATCCGCAAGTCTCTATCGGCTCCTAAGCAGGAGTACAATTTGCTATATCGGTTACTGAAAATCACTGAAGGAACAGTAATTGAATCTCCAAACCCCTAAACAGGTCTGGCTTCTCCTAGAATATGAATAGGGCCCAGTGTAAGTATGGAACCCTGTCGGTACATAGTAGCATACCAGCGTAAGTGTCTAGGTCGCCCGTGAGAGAAGCAGGTGGTGACGAGGAGGGCATGGGTAGTCCTACTGATGGGGCCACCTTCTACCTACCCCCCTGCTTGTTCTCCCATTTGCTTCTCATCAACTTCTTCTGAGCTAGCATCAAATATCATCTTGAAACAAACTGGTACCAACGAGCACCGCTATGTCTTAGCACACTGTGAGTCCGCGAGGTACTCTATTGAGCCTACTACCCCCTTTGCGAATGAAATCAGTTGCCCATCTCTGTCCACGAGTGGGTAGCAGCAACCATGTAGTGGACGATAGTGTAAACCCAAGCGTCTGATAGATGCGCGTTCAATGGGGCGTTGTTCGCGTTTTTACACCTGGCCTGCTTTCACTTCGTGTTCTACTCTGTGGATCAGAGCGCAGCTGATCGGTGTAAAACTCTTCGTCTTTAACCTTTCTGATATGCTGTCAGCATTTCTGTTATATCGTCTTTGATATTGTCAAGTGGTTCCCACGTTACCTCTCCATTCTTCCAGCGGGTCAACACTTCGTCCGCTTTGATCAGATATATACGGTCTACCTCGTGTTTCTCCTGGCCGTCTACCATTACTGGCGGCGTAAGCAATATCCAGTTATTATCTGCCATACTCATCATTGTGCGCTTGCTCTAGGTGAGTTATGCTAACTACGGGATGAGTCGCCCAGTCAGGTGGCAGGCGCAGCTTGATAATAGAATAAAGGCCATATTCCCACGCCATTATCCACACAGTCACATTCAGTCAAGCTCAGCAGAGAATAGTGATAACACTTGCCAAAGTCGACATAGGAATTGGCTATAAAGTCTTGCTGGTCCGGGATGTGGAGGGAAAGGGTAGGGAGAGGAAGAGGAGGATTTATAGGCCCAACCGTACCTGACGCATTCAATTGTCCATCATTCATTCATTAATCTAATATGGACAGTATCCTGGGTTATTCACCTTGAGTAGTCATATGATGAATTACTTGCTGCCACTGCCATCTCGACGGGTAGCCAAGAGATTTGGAAGACATGCGGACACCTCAGGTTGAAATGCGAGTCTAATACAATATATACATGGGTCTTTGCCATTGTGAAGTGAGTTTGCTATATTCGCGAGGTAATCCACTAACTCCAGACAGATCTACCGATATGCAAGGCATTGACTGCAACATGAGCATAACTCTGGACGATCATGTCCATGGCGATGGCTGGTGCGGTGTCTACACCGCATCAAAGGCCTAACTCAGCGACTACACTGCGAGACTTGTAGGATTTTTCCTATGGATACCTTACGCAAGTGTCATACAGGCCTCTTGTTGTGGTGTAGAGACAAGTATACTTGTGTAAGCAAGAAATCATGCATTGACAGGACGGTAGGATATTATAGGGCTACGAAAATTTATACAGTGCAAAATGAGCAAACAATGCAAGACAGCGAGACAATACCATGTCGCCTGCGCACTGCAGCTTGAAATTGGACATGACCAAACAGTCAGCCCTGGCATGAGTTTCTCACCAGTTGGCGCCCGCCGGGAACAGGCGGATTTGACAGCCAACTTCGTTGGAGAGGGGTATAACTGCCTCGTGCGCAACATTATGAGAGTCCCACTATTTCCGAGGCACACTTAATCACTCTCCCCATCATGATGATCTGGCACACAGTCCAACAAGTTGTTCGATATCCCCGAAAGTGGGAAACACGAGTGGATATCAGATTCCGATACCGCTGATTAATGCGGGCCCGCGCGGATGATCAGCCGCGCCAAAAGACACCCAATCGCCGCCACTCCAACCACGTTATTTGAATACCTTTCAACACCTCGTCACCTCAGCATAGATCGCGTTGCTTTATCTTTCTTGTCTTTTCCGCATGCGGGTGTTATCTCCTGGAGTTTCCGCCCTGAAACTCACCTCTTCTACAACATGTACACCCTGCCGGTCTTGATTGCGGCCTTATTTCTACATGTCAAGTTCCCCTTGCTTCCGGGTCTGAGAGACACCCTCTATGGCATCATCGTCCTCAGCGCCTGCTGCGCCATTTTCTACCCGCCCGACACCAGGGACTTTATAAGATATACCAATGCATTTCTCTCTACCTCCTTTGTTATCCGCGCTGTGGAACTCCTCCTGGTCCATGATCTGAGTCACTTGAAGCGCCTGCAAAGAGTGTCATACCTATCCTCTTCACCCGTATATACATGGGAACCCATATCTCCCACGCTAGGGTGGAAGCGGTTTGTTCAGATCTGCGATCTAATCATCAACCCGCGCGCTGTGGGTTGGAGCTACGGCTCTCCCAAGTACCAGCCTCCCGTCCGGAAGCTCGAAGTTGTCCCGGACGGCGCAAATGGGTGCGTTCCTAACCGCGAGGACATCGTCCTGGTAGCAGATGACGACCGCTTCTCGTTCTTGAGAGGCAAGATCGTTCGGGCTCTGGTAGCCTACTTTATCATCGACTCGTATCAGTCAGCCATTGGACGGAACTACTCCAGCGTCAGCAACTTCGTAGAGACATTCCTGACCAATGTGCTGAACATCCAAGCATCCCCGGCCACGACTGAGGGCGTAATTCGGTTGTTCATCCTTCCACCAGTAGACTGGATGGCCTCCTACGCCTTCGTAGACGGAATCCACGCCGCCACCGGCGTAATTTCCGTCGGTGTGCTTCGGATCATCTCTCCACAGCTCGCAGCCGAACCGTGGATGTATCCCCCTGTCTTCGGGGCGATCCGATACATGTTCACCTTTAGCCTACGAGGCAAGTCACCTACCCACCCCCTTACCTTCCCAAGGACAGCAGAATAACAAAGTAACAATTTCAGACATCTGGGGCAAAATGTGGCACGACCTCTGCCGTCGCCCATTCCTGGCCCTCTCCCTCTCCCTCATTCCGGACTCATGGCCCCTAGGCCTCAGACGCCTTCTCGTCGTTTGCCTCTCCTTCATGGTATCAGGCGTCGTTCACGCAGCAGGGACCTACGCCGTCTCGAAGGACTGGTTCGCCGCGTCCATGATGATGTTCTTCTTCTGCGTTCTGCCAGCATGTGTGGTCGTGCAGCAGATCATTTCCGATCAGATTCTGCCGCGTGTCCTTCCCGCGAAGAATAACATCTCTCGAGTCGTTATTTGGCTCGTGGATGCGGCGTTCGTGGCCGCGTGGGGCTACTATACTAGTCCGTGGTTTCTGAATTATAGTAAACTGCCGGAGGCGATTGAATCCATTCCGATGCCGGTTAGTTTCTGGGGGGTGGTGCTTGGGGTTTAGGTTTGGTTCTGTATTGGTGGTGGTTGTTATATATAGACTGTGCCTTCACTACAGGGGGACGGGTGTGATGTTATGTGAGGTTGGTGAACGCTTATTGGTTTGTTTTTTGTTTTGGCATAGCGATATGATACCATCTTATACATTGGCTTCTTTATAGCGTTTGGATAGATTATGGATAGGATTTCGGTTGCTAGCGAGAATCCGAATACCATAGTGAGTGTCCAGCTGGGACTACTGATCCAATAATAATGGGCATTATATAGTGCTAGTATGTTCGGGTCGGCCATCATGGTTAGTAACCGCCACGCTACAAGTCCCCAAAGTATGACCATATTTGTACAGATTTTGGCTTGAATGGATCGTTACTGCTACAGGTACAATGATTCATTATATCCCCCCCCCCCCTTCAGCAATGATACTAGTGAAGCATACTAAAGCCAAACCTACATGGAGGGAGTGTGGCATTAGTAGCTGTTAAGGAAGGAAACCACGTAGCAACCCAAGTAATTCATTAAGATTACGTACCAACTAAGTCAAGACAGATTGACTCCTCCATCTTGGACACGTATATACCTATACTCCCTCCCAAATCTGGCAAAATGAGTTTGCCTATGCGGTGTTGTTAACCACAACGCCCTCGTTGGTGGTCTTCTGTTCAGCGACGTATCTATCCCAGGCTGAGCAGTCGACAATATCGACTGAGAAGTCCGCCTTCTTGATGAGATTGTCCAAGCGTCGGCATGCCTCCATCATTGCTGCTTTACCCTCCGCAGTCTTATCCAACTCATAAGTAGGCTCGATCCCGAGGATCCAATTTTGATCCCTACAGCGGTATTCCCACTTTTCGGATATCCGGACGTATTTCAGAGATAACCGATCGCTTTTGTCCTTCGATATCAGGCTAGCCAGAAACATATACACAGGGCGGTCACATTCAACTACCCTCAGACTCTCTAAAGAGTTCGGGAGACCTGGGACATCTCGCAACCCACTTTGCTCCACTTCAAGGACTTTGAGGCTTATGAAGGCCGTAAACGAGCCATAGTGACTCCAATCTGGACCTCCAGGATTGGGCTCGCATTCATTAAAGTTGAGTTCGAGTTTTAGAAGGCTATATTTATGGGCCTCCAAGACCGATAATATATTTGATCTTCTGACGAGGGAAGCATGTCGACACTTTCTGTCTACTACTGCCTCACTGATATAGAAAACCTTCAAACACTTGCATGCACGAACAATTTGGCGCAATAGGGGGGGGGAGTAAACGTAGATCCTCTTAGATCTAGCATCGTAATGCTGAGAGACTCGGGTTGGAGGAGGTTAAAAGGTGGACAGCCAGGGTCATGCTCGTCAGCGCCACATATAGAAAGCTCATTCAGTGTGGGTAGGTGCATGAGATGAATTAGATTTCTCAAAGATTCGTGGCACATGATTTCCAGAACAATAACAAGTTTCTTCAAGTTGGGGAGATAATCATAGCGGCGTATGCCCTGAGAATCTCGTTCCCAGAGCAGCTCCAATGCTTCCAGTCCTTGTGTCTCGATTTTACTGAGTTCCAATTCTTGCAAGTTGGGCGTCAGGGATATTAGAAGCATGAACAACGGAAGTGGATGGATTCCCGCATTGCCTGTCAGGTGTCGCTGCTTCCAGTCCGCTGGAAAATGGTTATAAGCTCGCATCAGTGTCTCCATTGAGACCTTCCGGGGCCCAAATGGCAGATTCTGCAGTGAATCAAATCTCGGAAAGAACAATATATTCACATCCAATTTGCGTACAAAGGTGCCCAATTCAGGCTGTTCAACAACAGCCTCTATGAAGCGCATAAGAGTAACCATTTTAATCTTGTACGGAGGTACACTTCCATCGCTATAGATAAGCCATTGTGGGCCTTCACGGAACAATTCGGGCTGGACAAGGGCACAAACTGTCTTGCAAGTTTGGCAAAGCTTTGCGATAGCACCAAACTTATTTGCATAACGCAGTTCAGCTATGATGAGCAGCAAGATCTCTTGGGGGAGATTTGGAAGACTCATTGTGGCTGTCGAGGGTTTCAAAGGTGGCGAGGTTGGCTTTGGCCAGATGTTATCGAGCAGGGATGGGATGACGAGTGGAATACCGATGGCTATTGTCAGCTGTCACCAGTAATAGAAGGGTATGGGGACACCAGATCCAGAGCTCCAAATAAGCCTGGGCACTTGACATCTTTATTAAAGTCCAGCGTCTGTTATGGGTTACGAACTTGGTGAGGTGAGATTCGGTGTTCCCCAACCCGGAAACATTGTCTGAACTATAGCTATAAATGAAGCACTTGGGACATAATGGCCTACTAGTAATCGCAGAGATCCAAGAACAGAGGCTTCATATTGGGGTAATTCGTTGTACTGTAGCTCAGCAGCGGAGAACAAGGCACAAGCCTGACAATACACCATTGAAAGATCATATTTAGTTCAATGAGTAAGTACTAGCAGTAGAGTCAACAAAGGTTTGCTCAGCCGCGGTCATCTGACTGGGCGTTCCCGCACTGGCAGAAGCCGAGATCTCAAGTTGTCTCCACCTCCTTTCACCTTCTCTTAGACTCTTACACTTCGAAGAATTGGCAGGGTATTGAAATAGCTCACTCAGGTCACGCGATTGCCGCCCATAGCACGTCCAGGCCCAGACCCAGCCGGTTAAGCCCCAAGTATTTGCGTATATTTACTCTCTTCACCAGTCACCTTCCGAACAAATATCACCACCACACTTACGGTCGGCTACCAGCTCTTTCACCACAAAAATTCTGCTACCTGTCCATCGCAGAAATGTCACATATCATTCATAATCTAATGGCTTGACCCGAATAACTCGAACAAAGAACGATGTTCTACAATGCCCTCATCCGAACCCACCACATCACCTCCCGCAAAAAGGTGTCTGCGCTGAAACGCGCAGCCGATATACACAATTGCTTCGTGCTTCTACGCTCTGGTGGTTGTCCAGGGATAATGTATGTCGAGGCGAGAGACCAAACCGCTGTTGAGTCTTGGGTGACTGTCGTTCGAAAACTTCGGTACAAGGATTTTCAACTAGCCACGCGACCAGGACCCCTCCACGACGAGAATGAGACAGACCTTCATGATCAGAAGCAGTCACCCCACCAGACAAGAATGAGGGTTATAAGGGCCGGTGTGTGTGAGGTAGAAACCGTCAAGGAGTTTGGGATTTTAATGGAACAACGCGGTGTCTGGAAATGGTGGAGAAAGGGGATGGGATACGTGGGTTGATTTTGCGATCGCTGCAAGTGCATACGCAATTCATGGACTGGGCTCTCCCGATGATGGCTACCTATTTCCTTGGATATCATTCAGCCCGGCACTCTGCAGGATCTGAGGCCTGAACTCGCGGTTCTGAAACCAGCATACTAGTCTAGTCACCACAATTGGAAGCCTCAACACAAGCAGCTGTTTCCCTCGCGTGCCAGGTCATCCGAATATCGGCAATTTACAGCCACGGAAATGTGTGCAATCTAGTGTCGATACTACGTCATCTCATCGAAGCTATATACACGAACTCGATGTCGACTTATGCAGGCCTAGCTCACCCATGCAATGTTGAATTGTCATACTTAGTCGCCCAATTACGGTGACCGGGCAATCTATTAACGGGGCCATGTTGACCGATATTGTCCTTCGGTGCAGGAACATCCAATGGCTGCGGCATTGGGGCCAAGTCTCTTGTTTGGTTCCTCGTTATCGAGCAGTCTGGGTCGGTCAATCCTTGTGGACCGGTACAGGTGTCTATAGCTTGCTGCAAGGCGACCTGGTCTGTCCAACCGTACATGAAATCTCCGTGCAAGCCGTATCCGGTTTTATCACCTGTCGCATATATCCAGTTCTTGTAGTCTGGGTGGGGTGCTGTGTTGAAAAAGAATTCCAGAAAGATGGAATATATCGCAACGGGATGCGACTTGGGGCAAACGCCCTTGTTATAGTCTCCAATGTCGGGGTACGCCATCTACAAGTACTGTCAGAAATCCCACAAGTGCTCGCAGACAACGACACCTACATGACTCTTATGATCTGAGCTGTCCAGGTTCTCTCCATCCCAGCAGGAGGGCATAAAAACCTGCGACCTCAACATTTCACAAGGCTGCTGAGGCAAGCCTTTTGTCTCATTCGAGCTTCCATCTTTGCCAATGCACATATGACTGATGGCACGCTGGGACCAATTCGAATCATTATAGGTCCTGTTCCCATCTGATATCAGCACTGTCAGACATCGGGGTAAAGAACAGGCGAACAAACCGAAGACTCGGATCCCCAGCAAGCATGCGCAGACCTTTCGGCGGCGCCAGCGGAATCAGCTTCTCATCACAATCCGTAGCACCGGCCGTATAATTACACGCTCGATCAAAGTAATAAATACTCTACCTAACTCATTAGCCAGTTCCTTTCGATCCTCAACCAAGCTTCCAGGACTCTCAATGAAGTCCAAAGCAATACCTACACTGGACTGATACTCCACGAGTTCAAACGACCCATTCCTCATGCGATGATAAAGCTGCGGAACCCAGTAATTACTCCTATCAATATCCACTTCACACGTTGTCCCCTTTGCATTCTGCGCTGTGCTCTCATTCATTGTTCGCTGGAATGCTGTCCCCCCAGTAACAACATGTGTATGCGTAGATGGCTTTCCCGGCGCGACTATCGGGTCGGACAGTTGAGTCGTCAATGGATCGCAGCTGAAGGTAAACTCGTCTGTCGTGCGCTGCTTCGCAAGGACATTGCTACCGCTGGTGAGCAGAAGTAGCGCTGCGATGTAGCGGTTCCACATAATGCTGTCCGTTCTTTTCCTCATTCAACAGACAAGAGGCACCATTTGCTTCACTCACATAGCAAAGCAGCGTAGCAAAGCAGCGTAGGAAATTGCACTCGCAATCCGCGAAAGCAATATCTCAAAGACACAAGAGTAAAAGCAATTGAAAGAAGCAAGACAAAGAAAATTCATACAAAGATAAATAAAAAAAAATAAACCCTAACCGAACTCAATATATTCCGTCCGTCATTCCTCACGTCCATTTAACCTCCACCTTCAGCGCTTCCTGGGTGCTTGTTTTCCGCCCCGGGCATCTCTGTAGATTACACATTCCAAGCGCCATCGCAAATATCTCAGCCTCTGAGAATATCTCCGAGGAATGTTATGTTATGTTGTTGATGCATGTAGGACACGTGTCCCCTGTGTATTGTATGTACCGTGTAGAGCAGTGATGGTGTAGATGCTCTGCAGGGGCTGTGTTTATTCATATTTTTTTCTCTTGTGCTCAGAAAGGGGTTGCTAGTAGGATGTGGATGATGGATTGACCATTTTGGTGGAGGGTCGCTGATGTGTTCAATTACTATCCATAGACGCTGTAGATAATTGTTCATGATACAATTCAAGTCGGTAGTTCACAGGTTGCATGGTCTTGGTGGGTAATGTGACCGAGGCATTGACGTGAAATACGTAGGACTCGGTTGTTCTGCTACTGTCTCGCAATTCTGGATGAAGAGGGGTTGTAGTAGTCGTAGTATGATTTATACATATATTTTGCAGTTCTATCGAGCACTAGTGTTACATGTACATCATTACTTTGATACCATTTGACTGCATCTCCATATTTGTATCATAAGGAAAGCCACTACTACAACAAACTGCAAAGGAAAGTGCTTTTTGACTGAAAAGACGTCGTTGCGCAGAGCCAACCGAGAGGAGCCACTTAGAGTACCTAATTATCTAGAAACTCTCTACCATGACTGCATGCTTTTGTGCAATGTACTTGGAAGTCCGCTTAGATTATATTATTCAAGCGCAACGCTATCTCTTTAATTAAAACGTGCTCTTGCATATGAAACTCCCTCTGCTGAATTCTGATCGCATAATGCAAATACAGACGTAATCTCGCTTGCCAAACACCAAAGACACCCAGCCTTAAGCGCCGCTGACAACATCAAGCTCCCCATTTGACCGTTCAATTCTGGGCCGTGGATATGGCGGCCTGGCCATGCATGCATGTACTACCGAAGTAACATTTGCATAAACAGCTAGGATCAGACCTGATGTCACGCCATTAGCATCCGTCGGACCGGGCACAGAAGTGGATCATTGGTGACCAGGGGCTATCCCAGTGACCAGTGAGATCCCACATCCAGATGCAGTAATATCAGCCCATTGGACTCCAGTAGTGCGCTGGATGAGCGGGCTCTTATATCTTGGCTTAGTCGTAGCCTCGCATTGCAGAACCCACCTCTTGCCTCGCAGAATGGTGCCCATCTCAGTTCCTCTACAACGTAGAATACCCCAGACATATCCCTGATATCCCTGGTTTGGATTCCTTCAGACACAGCACCGGCTTCGTCGAGGACACCCTAAAAAAAAGGCCCTGAACCGGCTCAGGGTCATGATTTCACGCAGCCACAAAATGGAGCATCAAAACCTCTGTATGCGATGTAATACAGCTATGCTCTCTAACACCCAAGTCCGGTATTGTTACCGAACATGATCGAGCCTGGCTTGGATCGTCTTGTCATCGAAGTGACCTTCCTCGCCAACGTAGTTGTGAAGGGCTTCTGAAAACATCAAGCGACGGGGTGCCTTTCGTCCCGTCATGAGCTCAAACTGGGGTATCGCTTGCTCGACCACATTGTCAAGTCCATCAACTAATACCCAAGGGCGCCCGGTTTCAGTCCGAATACGACGCATCTGGCGCAGCAGTGGTGTGTCCAGTGGCTTGTAAGCGAACTAGTTTGGAAAGGTTAGTCAGGCCCACCTGTGCACTTCATTAAAGAACTTACCTCAAGGACTACGCCGCCAGTGGGGCTTCCCAGCCATTGCACAGGCATTTCAAAGTTGGCTGGCGGTTCATCGCGGTCGCGGTCCGCGGGCACACAGGATGCGATCATGCAAGGCGGACAGGCATCCTCAGGCCATGCATCCTTCAATGACTTTAGCACATACACAACTTCTGTCGAGTCCACTTGTGAGGCTGCCCATGAGTTGAAATGGCGAGCGACACTTTCCGCTCTTGATAAAGTTCTGTTGTAGATGAAGATTCTACGGCATCCGAGCCGCAGCATAGCATAGACAGCGGCGCGGGCCATACCACCCGCTCCTATCACCAGCCCAGTAGTCTTCGATGGGCTGATGGCATTGCGTGGAGAGAGGTTGCGGTTGATGCAGTTCATAATGCCAACCCAGTCGGTATTCTCACCGTACCACCCTAGCACAGGTCCAGCCTGGTTACGCCGACTCGCCTGCTCTTGTAGAGGATACATGGATCCATCAGGGCCGGCGCGCAGGGGTACGATCGTGTTGATCGCACCGATTGCCTCCACATGGCGGCTTTTCGCCGCAAGCTTATGTGATAGTTGTACTCTCCAAGGCTGAACCACACTTGACCCTCCAAAATGCGAATCCCTGCCCAACCGGTCCATGATTGCAAGCGAGGGCGAGTCCGGTATGGTATAGGTATGGCTCATGCCACAGTGGCGGAAAGCAGCATTGTGCATTGCCGGGGAAAGACTGTATGCGACATTGCCTCCGAGGATGAAGAACTGGAGCGGGTCCAGCACGTAACTCTGAAACAAGGCCTGAACTGCATCACGAGACGTGATCTGCGGGTCCCGCTCGTTGTCGGAGGACCTTTCGATTGCTGGGTGTGTTACAGATGTGAGGATTGAATTGAACACTTGCGAGGTGCGGCCAAGACGGCCAATATTGTATGCGATAACCGGTGGATGTTCGCCAGGCAAGCCATGAACCTTGTTTGTGAATTTAGCAACCGCCGCATTATCCTCGCGCGACGTAGCCACTCGAAGAAAGCGAACGAGCTGACACCCCAGCTTCTCGGCTTCAGAATAGAGGGAAAGGCATTCTTCGCTCTCCCATGTCTCTGGCGCAGAAGGTTCGAATATGCGTTGACCGATGATCTTTGTGTTGCCTCTGGTACGGATTGCCTCCTCCACTCGAGACCGTTCTTGGCTCAAGTCCACGGCCAAATATTCAACCGCCAAGCGTAGAGCATGTTCCACAATAGCGAAGTATATATTGTTCACCTTTGTAGCAGACAGATCACCTTTAGCAATTCCCGCGGAGGATTTATCTATTGAGATTATGATGGGCGTACGAGCATTTCTCCGGAGTAGAGCGACCTGCTTGCTGAGAGTTGCTGTCAATCCCGTGCTCCAGCGGTCAACACACAGCTCAATGGCATCACCTCCTGACTCAAGCTCCTGTAGGTTGACATTGCCTTCTGCCAGGTCGGAAGATCGAACAAAAATGGCATGGGTGAAGGACCGGAGTTCCGGGGGAGTCTCAAGCAGAACAAAAGGCGAGTCATAACTGGTGTGCCCTACATCGGTGCCAGTCACGAAACGCACGAAGCGCGTGAAGTCCTCTTTCGCTTCTTTCAACTTGAATGAATAATCAACGCATCGTCGGTCCGGTGATCCCTCATCCGTCTGGGAAGCGATACTGGAATGATCTTCAACATTGTAGAACTCGAAATTCGAGCATGTTCTGTGTAGAGGATCGCCCTCGGCAAGGAGCTTGACTGATTGCTCCTCCAGACCTAATAGGCTTTGAATGCGATCCATGTCGCGAACTATGTATACAATGGGGTTGGTCGCAGAATAGTGACGAAGGTGCTCCTGAACCGGACGGGTAAGACTGCCGAGACCGCATTCAATCACACAACGGGAGCGGTGGTTGTCAAGCATTGACTTGAGGACATCGACATCGCGTTGCTGGAATTCCTGACTCCCATAGCGCTTGAGATACTCATGCCTGGTATGTCCGGTCACCTCTTTAAAATAGTGGTCTTCCGTGATGAACCGCCGTTTCAACGCAGTGGCAGCGACAAATCCCAGAGACCGCTTTCCGCACCCCCGGATGCCCACAAGCACCAGAGAGGCATCAGGATCGAATCTCCGGCGCTTATCTACCGGGGATATTTTGTGCATTGTGGACGTTTACGTGATCAGTGGGACGGAGGTCTTGTGTGGTCGGTGCGCGGGAAGTAAGGCCGTCCGCTGCAGAAAGTCTAAGTTGCTTAGAGCAACGATAAATCAAGATGATATCAGCAGTGTATCCGAAGCAACCCAATAAGGATCAATCATCTGCACTCCGTCATATTCGAAGTGGCCATGCTTCAATTGAGGGAGGATAGCGTGGTCGGGGGCCGCTCTTGATATTTTTTTTTTTTTCCTGTGACTTGAAGCGGAGAAGCTAGTATACCGGGGAAGATGGCGGGGGTGAGGAAATGGTGACTAGCTTTTGCTAGCTATCGGGCGGAGGCGGAGTGCAGTAAGTGCGGCAGGGACAAAGGCGGTCAATTGGCGCAGCACCTGGCATGCCTGCGAGGGCAGCAATGGGACGGAAACGTGTTGAAGCAGGCTGGTCAAGCAGGTGTGATTGGTTTGCTGGGGCAAAGGCAACCGGGAGGGGGCGCTGGAGAAAGTGTGATTATAACAGAACCAAAGGATGACAGTCGGGGGACCATGGCAAGAATGCTCGGTTGCGGCCATCAGCCACCGGAGTCCCAAAGGATTCGCGGGTTCAGCATCTCCAGCCGCATTGCCGGACCATCGCATCTGCCACGAGTGACCGCCTGCCCCCCAGGCTGTATCCGGATAAGGTAATACCCGGATAGAACGAACTCCATCCGCGGGACTCTCCGTAATTCGTATACGACATAGATTGGCCTGGGTGTCACCCCCCGATCCATCGGTAGCCACCTACTCAATTAGTCTACTCAACCGCATGCTAGTATTTATCATCAATCAATAAGCATGCATCCCTGATAACTAAACCGACCCCATTCTCCAGGCAGAAACAAAACGCCTGTTTAGCGGGCGGGCGATGGGCTAATAGGTGGGTAGCCAGCAGCTGCGAAAACGATGGTAATCCAATCAATAGAAAAAAATGGTTCTGTCAAATCCGGGTCAATTTGTGCCTACATCACTCTAAACTCTAGCACGTCGGCCCATTAGCCCAGTAACATTGAATCGAATGTATATGCTTAAATTTGAATGGAGTATAGTGAGTGGTACTACTGTAGTCTGTATCACTTCGCGTCCCCAGGGTAAGGACCCTGCACGATTGTTCGGACCCGATGGGTATACCGACGCCCGGAGGCCTGGGACTGATGAACCCTTGAAGATGTATATCTCCTCCATCTGCATGACTACCGAGTCGGGATGCCGGATCGTTTGCCGGATCCGCGAATGATCTGAAGGTCATTATTCAGTAGCCGAGTCAAGAGCTTGACACGGACAGTGAGCATGCTGAAGAGGAGGACGTACCAGGAAGGGGTGTCGGACCCCTAGAACCGGCGAATCAGAAGTCAAAATGGGTCGGTTAGTTCGGAGTGCCACAATCGACAGTAAACTAGTCGTGGTTTGGATTCTTTTTAGGCTCGACGCCTTTGTGGGGTGGACTTTACGGTTGGTCCGCCGACAGCGGAACGGCCGGTTTTCGGCGGTTCCTATCTGCTCAGTGATTGGGCTAGTGGGATCCGAATTTGATGATTAGGAAGACGGTTGGGAGCCCTTTTCGTCTATCCATTAGGTGATAGTAGATAGCCACAGACACTGGAGGTTTGAAGTCAGCATTGAGGACCCATGATTCCTAACTAGTCAGGACATAATGATGGCCACAGATGGGGGAACTAAGAAAGCAGGAACATTATCGGTTCGAAAGCTTAGATGTACGCTATTCTTGTCCTCTAGACTTATTGTGATTAGTTCCCTCGGACGCGAAAGATAATAATAGGAACTGGTAGGTGGTTGGTTACGCGGATTATTGATGCGAAGAATTCTTGGCTGATTGACACGGTTCAAGAGAATACTATTTTTGTGAGTCGCTAGGAACAGAGGAGGCTGAGCCTGAGGAAGTTATTATTATCAGACAACACTAAATGAGTATGGATTATGGAGAGGGAGCGAGCACGAATCCCACCGAGCCAAGACGGCGAAGGACGGCGGAAGTCTCGGTTTCTCCTGCAGCCAAAAGGTGCAGGGACTGGGTAGGGGAAGCATTTGGGAGGAAAGTCTCCCACACCGCGTCGTGGAGAAGCCGTGGGGATCCGGTGTGGGGTGTTAGCCTCAGGCACCCTCCGTTTTGAGGAGAGTCTCACCACACGAAAAGTGGGAATTTTTGGGTAAAAAGAACCTTTTTGGCACTATTATCTAAGTTATCTCGATTTTCTTACTGTATTAGGAATAGAAAAAAGAATGTTTGTTTTCATCTTATGTGGTCTATTATCATTTATCATTATTAACTTTTTTTCCTTTAGCATTGAATTCTGGAAAATCGTTGCAGCTGCCAATCTCAGTCCCGACGGAACCCAAAACTCACCCGGAAAAAGGCGACTAAACCCAACCATCATCCACTAAGTAACTCACTAAAGACAGAGTAAACTAGTAGTCAAGTTTTTTGAACTGTTTTATTTCATTTATTATTCTTGTTTTTATTTTTTCCAATTTTTTGCTCATCCCGAAGTTTTTGCCCCGATCTTTCCCTTCCCCCTCCTTCTCCCGTCCCTTGTACTTTCCCCCGTTGCGGTCCCTTCAACTTGCAGCTCGTAGAGTACTTTTTTTTCTCTCCTTCTTCTTTTACACTTTCCCGGATCCCTTTCTAAACTTGGTTGCCTCAGGATGGGTCTGGGCCGATGCACAACTCCATATTGGATTGGATGGACCAAGGAGATTCAACAGCGAGACCCTGAGGTGGCTGTGGTAGCAATCATCCATCTTTAGAACTCATTGGATTCTTGCGTAATACTACTTGCCATCGTTTTTCTTGACAAGTTCTTTTCCGATTGCGTCTGGGGGACCCGAGGGTCTTGTTTTATAACAGACGGGCATGCACTGCGGGATAACCTTTTCGGCTTGCTCCAATCCCTCCGCCACGGTCCCTTTCTCGGCTTGCCTGGCGACTACTACTACTTACTTACCTATCACTATTAACCTTCCCAGGTTACTTGAACTTTACACTTCCTATTCCTATTATTCCCTACTAAACTGAACTGAAAACCGCCTTTTCCGTCACGCCTTTTTTACCTTCCCCCTTCTGGTCGGTGTCGTTTCTGGGAGGCCCGACCACCTTTCGCTCGCTACCTTCTTCTCTTCTTTCCTCTCTTTTTCCTGCTTTCATGACATGCCATATCTTTTTAATTAATTAACCCTCTCCCATGGACGAGGGTTCCGATTCTAAAGCCCCTCGACGGAAGAGGGTGTCGAGAGCCTGTGATCGCTGTCGAAGTAAAAAGGTCAGTTAGAATCAATCAATCAATCAATTAATTAATACCTTTTCTTTGGCTTCTCTGCTTCTTCCCTCTCCCCACATATTTTATAGATTTTTCCCTTCCTTTCTCCATCTCCATCTGGCTCTTGCTTTTAGCCCGATCGGTGCAATTCAACCCCGAACTGCAGGTGGTTTTTCATTCTGTACTCGATCATGTTCGGGGCGGCGTTCTTGCGTCACGTCACGTACTTGCCCGTTTTCGGTGCTTGTTATCACCTCGGAGCTGCAGCTCAGCTGCCCACTGCCGTTTCAATTGGGCCATCTACTCGCCTTCTTTCCTACTTCCTCAACTCAACATCCTGGATCTGCTTGCCCCTTCAGTTTCTATCTACTCCTCCACCATGTCATTAATTCTCACCCTCCATGCTGACAATGACCTCCATCTTTAGGACAAGTGCGATGGACTACGTCCCGCTTGTTCGGCCTGCCAGGCTTCAGGCCAGACCTGCTCATATGATCCCCATGCCAAGAAGCGCGGGTTACCAGAGGGCTATGTTCGTGGCCTGGAGAAGCTCTGGGCCTTATCCATCTGCAATATCGATGGCTTCGAAGACACAATGCTAACTCTACTGGGGACCACCGCCGAATCAGCTGGTCGGAGACAGAAGCTCATGTCCTTATGGACGGATGATGGCGCGTCAGAGACACTGCATGAATCTTGGAAAACCAGTCGCCTATATGGGGCGCTCGAGAAGATGCTGTCTAACTCTGAGCCAGTCACGGAGAGCTCAGGAAAGCGCTCTCGGGAGGACCATGATGACGGCACCGAAAGTGAATGGGGATTCCGCATCGACCGTAGTTCGACTCCTCTCGCTCATGATGCTCCGCGTGTTGTTGAGCCTTCCACCTCTCCCCATGCTAAAAGGCCCCGGCTGGCCGCTCCCACAGACAGCAGAATCACGTCGTATACCGCCAGCGCTACGAATGCCCTACAATTACCCCCGCAGACCTCGCAGTTGTTGGACGTCTATTTCGCAGTCACTCACTCCTGGTTCCCAATCGTCGCAAAACACAACATCTTACGAGCATCGTACCTGTATGCAAGCGCGCCGCTATCTGTCGCAAAAATGGCCCCAGGTTCGGGCGACCACGCCGCATTGTGGGCCTTGCTCAGTTATACCATTTCGCAATCTCGGGTTAACCCGCAGGACGGGGCGTTGGAAGCACTTTCGAAAACCAAGGAGTATTACTCGGTAGCTCGGAGCTTGATCCCTTCTGAAACGGAGCGGTTCGAGCTTGGACATGTGCAGGCACTGTTGCTGCTGACGTTGGTGAACATCGGCCTGGAGGACTGGACTGCTGCCTGGCTGTTGAGTGGCCAGGCTGTTCGCATGGCCATTTCGATGGACCTTGGAGCCTTCATGGACGTTCGACGATCGGACGAGTTGAGGCAAGGCAAGGCGGTTTTCCTTGGGTGTTTCGTGATTGACTCGTTGCTTTCGTTTCGTTTGTCGAGGAGACCGTGCATGCATCCTCGTGATCTCACCATGGTCGGGCTGTTGGAAGAAGATGGCTTGGAAGAGTGGAACTCATGGTCGGATGTCTTGCCACCTACGGGGGCTGGACAAGGAAAGAGCCCTCCTCGACGGGGTCCGCTGCTCGCTCTAAGCTGCTTCAATCGACTAGTCGAATTAGCCGGTGTACTGAATAAGATTGCTCGCGACTCCACGGCTGGACCAAACGCACCCTTATTTGCACAACAACTAGTCATGGAGCTTAAGCAATGGGATGATCGTCTTCCTCTTGGATGTCGCTTGATTGGCCCAGAAAGTATCTATCCGGAACGACACTCGGCCTTGCTCCCGCACCAGAGCTACCTTGGCCTGACATATGTGGCTACGCTTCTATGGCTTTATCTGCGCATTGCGCCTCAGGAGCTTGGGCTGCATCGCTCTCAACGGCCGGCTATCGAAGGAGCCAAGAAACTCCTTTATAGAGCTCTTCCAATGGTGTCCCAGCACCTTGATAACTTTCAGGTTTGCGGTTTGCCGCCGATATTCGAGCTTTCTTTGCGCACTATCGCCGAACAAGCGTTCACTCTGCGCAATAAGATCGAATCCGACATGTTCCCTTTCGGACGGTGGACTGAAGCGCTCCTTCAGCGAACCACGGAGCTTAGTTCAACTTGGCCAGTGTATCGCTCATTGTCTGCTTCCATCGATCACTGGTACCGTTCTAAAGATCTCCCCGGAAACCCTGCTCTATCCTATCAACCACCAGACGCAGGATCAGCACCCGGAATGGCTAGCGGTATGACCAGTACTGCACTACCCCCTGGGTCTGTGGCAACATCGGCGGCAGGGTATCCGAACATAATGGGTGAGCCTACGATGAACCCTCCCATGAGAAGGACTGCACCTGGAATGGGGGATTCCGATTATACATCTGCCATTATGGGCATCACTATCCCGGTGGACGGACAGTACATGACGCCAAAAGATCCCACGGTGGAAAATCCTGATTTATCCATGATGGACGTGTCCTTCCAACAAACCTTGGACGGGCGAACGGCACACATGGACAAGTCCGAGCCTGCTGCTGCTCTGAATGCAGCATTACCGCGGGGCCCGCGCCCCCATCCGTCTACACCCGACTCTGGCGTGTCGAGTTCGATGATGTCGGTCACCGGCCCGGGCGTTATACACGAACGTTCTGTACCTTCCGGGGATAGGAGCTCGGATACGACAGAGCGTATCGGGTCAACCGGCGACATTGACGCCATCTTCAAGGATCTTGCATATCTCGACACCACAGAGTGGGCTAACAATCGCGAGGCTGCGCTGAAGGATTTCGGATTTATTGACGAGAGTACATTCCAGGCTTTCTGCCATGACCCAGACCGACTCGCTGGGACTCAGCCGTTGGTACATCCCCCGTCGATTGCCGACATTTGGCCGCCACCGGGCTTTTTCCCGGAGACGTTTCGTGACACTACGGAAGATGTGATGGAGGGTTGAGTGGCCGTTTTTTCATTTCTTCACATCTTGCTTTTGACCAAGCAGAGGTCGAAGGGACCTTCATAGGGACTTATTCCTATTTCCGATGTATATGGAGAACTTTCACGAATCTTCTGTTTACCGCTATGTATGATGGTGGTGCTATCAACGCACGCATCACCCTTTTTTTTTTACCATCTCTCTTGTCTCTTGTTGATGATACCCAATGTAAGTAACACATTACAAAGAAGACCAAAGTCGACTAGCAAATTTCAATCATGATGCTAATAGTCCTCGTTACAGTCCAGAAAACCTCGAATGCAACAGGGAGTTAGGATTTTAGGTATCTAGGAGTTGGTTATTGCTATTGGTGCATGCATATACATCGTCGCAAACCCTGATATTGAGGGTCTGTGGCTCGTGAGCCCACGTTTACAATAATATGGTCTCATTTAACCATCGTTCAACATTCTCCACTACCCCTGAATACGCTCAACCTCCGAGTTGAGCCAGCCAGCCAGCCCACTTCTAGCCGTCCTGACGTAACATTGAGCACGACGTGATCCGGCTTCAGACCCGCTTGGTTCAAACTAAAAAGCACGGTCTTCCTTGCATCCGTGCCCAGTAGATATCTAGTAGCTACTCCGTAGTAGAAAAGTAGCAAAGTAGCTTGGTAGTATGCACTAATCCCCACCAACGATTAGGCACCGATGCTTATTCCCTTATAGCACCTCCTGCTATTAATCAATCCACCGCGACCCAGCCAACCACTTGTCTCATTCTACAAAGTAGTTACATACATTATTAGTTGACTAATTACCTCTTTCCATGATTCAATCCTTGCTCTCATTCCATCTTCTAGTCCAAATTCGCAGGTTTATGCTGCACTCCTTTCCTATCTTACCGGCCCCCTCCCCCACCTTCCAAGCAAATTACACAGTAAACCTGTTTGTTTGCCTTCTTTCACCTCTCTTCCGATTGGTACTTGGTAATAGTTGGTGTTGTTCATTTCCAATTGAGGTTACTTGCAAAAAGTGCCTTGCTTTCTATAGGCTCAAGCTTCAAGTTTTCTCCTAGAGACGGAAAAGAGGTACCTGATTCTCACGGAGACGAACTACTTGTAGTAAAGTAGTTGAACAGGTGTGATCACTACCCTTTTTGTTTTATTTCTGTTCATATGCATATTTTAAACCTTTATTGCTCGAATATGGTAGTCTGAGAGTTGTGTCTATAAGTTGGTGTCTTTGATGCGGGTGCAGGTTGGTAAGTAGGCACCAGTCTTTGTTTGGTAGCAAAGGTAGTGAAACTGGTACCTGTGTCTGCGTGAGCATGAGCTGGTAGGTAGCTATGGTTTTAAGGTTGTGGTAGCATACTTGGTGGTTATTGGCGGAACTACTAAATGGAGTTGAGTGAGAATTGTGTTAGTCCAATATGTATGGAAGGATATTCTGGGGTGTAACATGTCGTACACTACTATAATGGAATTTCATCTGCTGTATGTTGGATCATCATATGTCTCATTGGGTCATAATAAGTCAATGCTACCTCGCGTGGTGATATCCGGGGGTAAAAGAAAAATAAGATGCAGGAAATTAAAGCCGTCATGACAGCCAGCCCATCGAGAAACGCCCCCAGGCAGAACCCAAAACCAAACATGAACTACGCCAAAACATGATCCGGAAATCCCAGCTTCCTCCAGGCACATACAGCCCCACGGAAGATGGGAAAAGAAAATAGAAAGATCCCTCCTTTAACCCCTTTTATCGTCGACCAGCAGCCAGCAACAATAATTGGTGAAAGCTCAGAACGCCGCAACCCGTCTTCCTGGTCGTTTATTGTATGAGAAAGATGCATGAGAAATTGATGGCTAGAAAATTAGGTGCATTAAGTCGTAAAGCCCGCTCTGCGACCTTGTGGATGCTCCACGGGGAGGGAATCACCGCCTCCAGCCGACGTTCCATATCACATGTGCAATGTCCTTGGCTGTGTTTACGGTGTCTGCCACACGGTCAAAAATGCTCGCACTCAATGGTTCGTCGTCTTCGTTGGGTGTCATTCCCTCCGGAGACATCGAATGGAAGTAGTAATCGAGCTCCTCATCATCTTCTGGATTCACAAACCAGGGACGGCTTAGACTTCCTAGGCCATATGAGTTGCGGCTTGGCTCCCAGTCGAATTCCACATCATTCTCTTCTTCGTCGAGAAGGAAATTAGCAGATGGCGTGTTATTCCTGCCAGATCGTGCGTTTTTCCGCGTCGACTTCTCGGCTCCGGACGAAGTAGGCAACGTAGAATTCGAGAAGTAGCTGGACCACCGATCCATTATTGAGGATGCTGGTGATTCTGATGTGGTTTTTCCGTTCCCACAGGCATCCCCTCGGCAATCTGGCAGATCATCCGCATGGTCCGAAGCATCCCATCGGTACTTGAGTGTGGTAGAAGGAAGCGGGGCAATGGTTTTGTTTTCACCAGTAACGCTACCACGAGGCGTACCTTTGTCGCTGAGCGACGAGTCAGAATGAATGTGTTTCATCATAACGATACCATCCTCTGATGACTCATCCCCGACATAAGCAGGCCAGCCATCGTCTTCCTCTTTCGCCTCAACAGCAATACATTGCACCACCTCGTTGTTGAAGTGAATATGCCGTCGTTCGCTAGGGGTGGCCGACGTTGACGTATTGGTGGCGGTACCCTTAGCAGTACCCCCCACGGGAGTGGTGGATGACTTGCTAAGCATATGTCCAAACTCCGAGGAGGCCCTCTGTAATGGGGGACGGTTACGGTTAATCTCGGCCTCCTGTGCTTTTAAAATGGCTCCCGCATGTTGCAAGAGCGTGTGCTGGGACAGAGAACGCTGCAAGATAGTCTCAGAAGCCGTTCTCTTCTTCAAAATTGGTTTCCTATCCGGGTACAAGGTCGGTGTCTCCAAACGGCTGGGAGGAGGAGAGCCATTGAATGCTTTCTCCCGCTTATTGCACGTCTTTAAGGGTCCGTACAACCACGTCACATCGCAGTCCTTCAGCCTATTGGGAGTGTTAGCAAAAAGCCAAAGCTTAAGGGACTCTGTCCGAAAACTGACCAGTTGAGGGCTTCTGGCGATACTGTACCCAGGTTGAGTTTCAACTTAGCCCACGTCCTCCACGAGGCATTCTCTAGCCTTTTCCCATTTTCATATATGTTCCTCCGGGCGACGACGTAACGCCATGACGCCCAAATATCCTCCTGTCTCCATTCATGAGATAGATAATCCACGTGCCTCGATGGCTCATCCTCGATTGTACTATCATCAGCAGCCGGTGCCTGCGTCAGGCGTGAGAAGTCCGCCGAGGAGTCCACAGACACATCACTGAGGGCTTCAGGCTCCTTCTGTGCGAATTGGCTGGAATCGTACGACGGCAGGACCAACTCGTCATCATCATGGCCCTCACTCATAAGAGATAGACTGCTCAGAGTCGCAGGCGTGGGAGGGAGATTCCCCACAGCTGTAATAGTGAAATCCGGGGATGGAGACGCTGACCGCGACGGGGAGGACACTACAGCATCAGAACGATCCTTGCGATGATATGCGGGCAGATTAAATTTGGCTGTGGCGACATTGGGCTCTTCGAGGAAGTAGGTTTGGGTGATTGGACTTCGCAAAGGGTCCGGAGAAAAGCGTGATCGCCCCTCGTTCGAGGCGGGAAGTATGGCCGTCATCCTAGCAGCTCAATCAGGTACATAAGGGCAGTCTGCGAATGGAATGGCCGTTGCAAGGGCTGGAGTTGAAGCAGAAAAGGTGGAACAATTGATTGAGATGGAATGTTTCGTCTCCAATGGAAAGGCGCAAGAGGCGTCGAGGAAAGGCCCGCTATCTAGGAATGGCGACAAAGTGCTGAGATCATGGCACAGTATGGGGTAGGCCAGAGTAGGATTTGATCTTGATTGGCAGCATATATGAAGGGGCAGCTAAGGCGTGTTATAGGGCGAGAGAGCTAGTAAGATGTATCTTGAGGAGCCATCAAGGTGTCAGGGAGTGAGTGATATGCGAGAGTTATTAACGGCTCCAAACAAGCCCCTCGGAGGGGGGTGGAGAAGGCCTTTTGCTCGGTCGCACGAAAGGATCGGAAACTTGGATGGGGTCGAAGCTAGATTAAGATGAAAGGTCGGGAATAAACCAGCGTGTGTATGGGAGTCGCAGGGTGAAAGGCAAGAGTCGTAAAGTAACGTTGACGGGAAGCGGCGGGAAACCGGAAATACCTCTCTCTCTCTCTTCTTTTGCGAGTTGCGAGTTTAGTGATAGTGGCGAGTGGAGATGCGATAATGCACGGGGGGGTTCGACCGTTGAATCTTCTTTTTTTTTTCGGTATTATTATTATTTATCTTTTAATTTTCGTTTTGATAAAAAGAAAAACTCTTAATTCTTCCCAGGTACTAGACCAGGATCTAAAGAGTCTAGATACCCGATGGTAGGGGGGCCAAGGGGGGAGGAAGCGTTGATGTCGCGCGGATCAAGTGAGGTTTGGTAGATAAACCAACGAGAAGGATCAGAGACGCAGGGTACCGCGTCGATGGCTTGGCGGAAGGAGGATTTGTTGGAGAATTGATTACGATTGACGTACGCGCGGGTTAAGAAAGAAGTACGAAGATATTTCCCACCCCCCTCTTCCCCCCTCTCCTTCGTATCAAGCAGTGCACAGTACCTAGGAACGGGTACCTCCCAAGGAGGGCATCAAACAAGGTTGAACCAGCACAGAAGAATCTGTTCGGTGCTTTTTTCGATCTTGTTTGCCACCAAAGAAACCAAATGCTCGCAAAGTGAATCATGACGACGGTACCTCGAATGGACAACCGGCCGGGTGGAGACGAAGCAGTTGCGCTAAGACATGTTGGTCTAGTCTCCAGCAACTTTTACTCTTTCCTGTCTAGTGCATCTATTCTGGTTCATTGCTGATTGGTCGGCACTGAAATGGTGTAACTCTCGTGGTGCATGGGTGTGGGTCACATTAAGCATTTTGCAGCCCGCCATTGGCTCTAATTGAGGTGGGGTTAGACCAGTCTTGACACCCGAACATCGTCGGACGATCCAGAGCCAGCCTCATGAAGCAATGTCCTTTCGGACTTACTGAAGGTTTTACCAGTCGTCCATAGTACAGTCTCCCTCGTATTATCTACTATATATCCATACTGAGCTGCCTAGCTAGCTAAATTACTACCTTGCTATCAGGAACCGAGCTATGTATCCTAGATAAAGCCTCCGATCTATACCTTAGCCGCATACCAATCATCCATCGACAGACTTTACGTCTGCGACCGGAGTCTAGAAGGACTCCGAAACCCCCAAGACGCACTAATTATGCACTGTAGTGAGGTCTCTTCCTAACATCCGGTTTGGAGCTGTGCGGGAGGGACGTGCGATAAATTACTTACTAACTGGACTAGACGGGGCATGGCAGCTAGCGTGAACATCATCATAATCTCATTCCCAGGCCAGAAACACGGAGCAGAGTAGTCAGGGATTCAGTTTGTTTCCTCCCTTAGCGAAACCCCTCCCCGATGCGTCGAGTATCAGACCCACCGGCTTTTCATTCCCGCAGTATCCCTTGGGAGAGAGAATGATGTGATATTGATAAGGAGAAGCAGAACAAAGAACCCGAGAGTTTGTCGGTCACTCCTCCTTCCTGTTTGGATTTCTGGGGAAACCTCCGCACGGTCTGTTGAAGTCCAGATCCCAGATCCTCGGCAAGCCAATGCGCGACCGTTGCTTCGTTCATTCCGGGGCACCCGCAAAGCAGGAGAAGATCCATTTCCCCCTTCTCCTCCCGATGAATGACCGATCCACCCAGAACTGTATCTACTCTTTATCTACTAATCATAATCTTCACATTAGAAGCCATCCTCTTCACAGATTACAGTTATACAAATGTATACTGCTTTACTTTGCAAATTGAGGAGTGCCCTGTAGCTGCCCTCCGGGAGGTAACATGTCCAAGTTCCCAGCCGACAAGTACGTAGTCTCGGGATAACACGGGATGCTGGAAGCTTCCGGATAGTCGTGTCATCTTGCCGATTACTACCTTCTTCTATTGTCTTAACGGATGCACGGATGTTTTGGTGCGGTTGCTTTGCATACGCTTTGAACGAGCACTGCGCACCTACCACGCTGACAGTAATGTTTGTTCTCCCAATTGTAGTTCAATTTCCAGTTTCAAGTTAGTGCCCTGTACTACCACTGTCCGACCAGTGCCACTATATCTCTAGAGGACAAAGTGGATGCTCTTGCTAACCACCTTGACACGTTAAGCCCAGTCCGGTAGGTCACTCCTCTGTCATATGTATGTTTGCTCTCTCGAAGCATAGTAGGACACGGACTTGACTAGACTAAACTAAGTAGATAGCTAGGCTGCTATTAGAGTGAGGGCTGGACAAAACACTAAGCATGCAGGTCTCTCCTGTCTGCGGCGGAGCACGTGGATCCGAGCGTCTGGCATAAACGTTCACCGGAGCTATTGCTATTATACGGGTTTTGTCTTGGGCAATCTATGTCTTCGTTCCCTTCATCTTACCATCTTCGATAAGTTTTGGAAGGAATAGGGAAGTTTTCTAAGCCTAGTGATTCATGAAGTCATGCTGGTCTTCCTTTCAATTGGCTTGCTTATCAGGGCCACGAGAAGCTTCGGATCTAAATGTCGCTGAATGCTGACTGACAAAACGCCAGAGCTAACTAACTCATTGGATGGCCAAAGTACTTCCTTTCTCGCGTCAACCTCTCAGGAGTCAGGACAACGTCCACTGGGGTCCGTTGATCCGCCCTTAGTGCCCGTTTCCGGACACTCAAAATGTGCACTAGGAATATCTACAAGACTAGCTACCGTCTTGTTTCCAGACACTCGTCCGCAGCCTCCTTCTGACTAGCGTCCCAGCCATGTCCGTTCCTATCTGCGCATCTCCCCTGTGGGGTGGTCGAACGTGCAAGCGAACAGCCCCTCATCTCTCAAAATCAAGTGGGGGTGAAACAATCTTGTAATCAAGATTGGCGTCAAAAGAAACCCGTACGGCGGCTCGATGCATGTCAGACAACTGATGGCTAGGATAGTAGATCGTGGTACGTACGTCGTGAGCGCAAGGACCTTCCCACGAGGGGTATTTTTACGTTTCTCTTTGGTCAACCGCCGCATGCGGTACTCAGCGATCAAGCAACAATTAGCCACGCTTGCATATGGGACATGTTGGACCCCCTAGTACTACTGCATAAGACCGTCCCTCGTTGTCCGCATGCCATCATCTACGTCCGTTACGATTGGCTAGACATCCTTGTCCTACTCATCATGGACCTTTGTGTTCCATCTTCCCCTTATCAACACTTACGTCGCTTGAGAACCTTAAAGAGCTGACAGGCCCAATCTAGATGATGGAGATTGGCTTGGACCCAGGGAACCAAACTGGAGGGATCAAATCGCCTATCAGGGCCTATCAGGGCCTATCAGAACAGCTATATTTAGGCCAATACTCACAGGAGGAGCCACGGACAACCCCGACTATCCAACACCAACCGGAAAGATACGTTCAGGCCAGGCCGCCGTCGATCATTCTAGCCCGCTTTCAAACGCGGGGGTCCCATACATAGGCGAAACCTAGCGATCTCCTATCCCCCCAGGTCTGCTTCCGTATGCTTTCGCTTTCTTTTGTTCTCACACGTAAAGGCAGCTTTACAGCAGAAATTATTTCAACGTGACATTTAGCTCGTCGGGTGCGCTGCCCCGGGGGTTTCTCGGACGCGAGACTGGCGTAACCGAAGCGATATACCTACTCTGTGAAGGCGCTGATGGGATTAGCGACGAGGCAATTTCACTGACGTGTCTTGAAAGCAGCCGGTGCCCGTGCACCCGCATGGCCCTGGTATGACTGTCGGGCCCTTTCGTGGGCTCCGATGCTACTGGATTGGCCGCAACTGCTCATTGGAAGAGGATATGAGGGGCAGGGTGCCAAACCGATTGGGCCCGTTAGCTCATTACTTGACAGACGGTCTGATCTATCTGGCCCTGCGCAAACCTCACTAGTTCTTCGCTAAGTCGGAGAGACAGCGTCTAGCTACGGACGAAGTGACTTTGCTCGCGCGGATTGCCATCCTGCTGGATAACCAAATACGCTAGCGACTGTTAGGTTTAGGTTTAAATCTCTGCGGCATCTCGGTGGTCTAGAACGAGGAGCAACGGAGCATTAGTCTCAGTATCAGGCAAGTAAATTTCGTGCCCGCTAGCATTCGCTTGGTGTGCGAGCATCTTAGCTATGGCGCACTGTATGTCGACTGTCACGCCGGTCAGCCTTCGACGCTGCTTCTCACCAGGGCACTAATACGCCATACATTTTGTTTCGGTTTGGCATACATTGCTTCTCTGCTCCGCTCTCCTTTACTTCATTATCTTAAGCTGACATGATGGAATGATACGTGAGGTGGCGTCTGCAATCACACGCTCGTCATATTACAATATGCTTGACGCGGGAAAAAATGGTAAACGCCACTACCGGTTCGCTCACAATTTGCTTGACTGAATTGCCTTTCGAGACCTGGCCTCTGCAGGCCCGCAGTATGAAACGCGGCAAAATCAGCCACTCTAATCTTCCATTCCAACAATTGACGGAAATGTGGCCATGCCAAGTCACTCATGCATAAACTATGCCGGCCAGTCCGGCCTCACGGAGCTCTTCGATCACCAATCGTCGTCCAGATACGAAGCATGTCTTCAGATCAAGTCCCTGCTTTGTTATCTGCATGCGTGTGCGTTAACATCGCTTTGCTTTGCCTTCGACTTTTCCCAATACACATTGTTTGCCTCTTACATTTGAGTATATTGGAATTAGACGCCGCATGCCCGAAGGCTGAAGTGTGTCGTCCTTGAAGGTCTATCGTGTTTTCGACTGCTCAAAGGTTGCATGCAGCCACTTCAGTGGCGTTAACATCGAGCGTCATGACAGGGGGTATGTTTGCTTGACGGCTCTTGATCGCCACTGTCAGTTTCCAATTCATACCTAGTTGGTGCACGATAGAGTTGACGGGATGGACAACTTCAACCCGTGTGGCAAAACATCATGCAAAAAAAATGCCAGGTTCAACTGACTGCAGCTTCTAGACTGGCCTAACATAGCAAGCCCAAGAGGTACTCGCTTACGATATGAGCGTACACATACCCTCCTCCCCCCCTCTGCTACAGCGCGTGAACTAGAATATCTCAAGAATAGCTTACCAACCGAACCATCCAAAAGCATTCAATGAGTCCAGTCCTCATACAGACATCACATTAGACAATAACAGAAGATTCTAGCCAGAGAATAATGCATCATAACCAGCTTCAAATCTTCCACTACGAGGCATAACATACCAGGATCCCGCCAGCCCAGCAAATTAGTATAGTAGCCATGATACCAAAATGTACCCAACGCAACTCTGCTCCCAAATAAACGGAAGCAATAATCATATCCTCCCATATTCCATCTTATTCAATAACCCACACAACAAAACCAAACCTAAGCCTTCTTCACACGATATGAACATGGCATAAATCACATGACAGATAGATAACATCGATAGGTAACTACCCAAAACAGCCTAGCTTCAAAAACCAAACCGCAACCCAGCGGGAAATACGTACATCCAGACCCGACCCCGCGCTCATTCAGAGGGCGGTCGACAGCGGCGGCGGGAGGGGCCCTACCTAATACCGCGCGAACGAGATTTTGTGTCCAGATATATCGATCCATAATATCTTGAATCTCTACCCTTCATACCTCTATACGTCTATTTTTATATCCCTGGATATATCACAATGGCCGAAGTCGCCCAATCGGTTCCTGCTGAATCGCAGGCTAAGCATGTTGCTTACTGTGGAGGTAAGTCGTCTCTTCTTTTGTCTCTGCTATCGCTTTGGTAGTGATGTTTTAAAGAGAGAAGATCTATTAGCTAACTGAATCTTCTACTATGGATAGTTTGCACATTGCCTCCGGAGGTACGCATACATAGACACACCCCATGCAGTCGAACCCAAGCTTCTCGTCTTCGTCTTCGAGAACAAACACCCCCTCCCCCACCTCTGCTCGTTCCGGCATTATATTATCTATACCACCCAAAAGGGCGTGTGGGGCAGCCAGCTAACATTAATTTCGAAATCGATTAGTACTGTGAATTCGGCGGCACGGCCAAGAAATGCGAGGACTGGTTGAAGGAAGCCCATCCGGACATGTACCAGTCGTTATATTCTGAGGGTTCGTTATTTTTTTTTCTCCCCCCTTCGCCCACCTCCCGGGTCTTTGAGATCAGTCGACTAACTTGCGACCTATTTGTGCTATGCAGAAGCCCTCAACTCCAACCTCGCTACATTGTCGGTATCGGCTCGGGAGCGCGCAGCTAAGGATGCGGCGAAGAAGGAGGCCAAGGCTGCTGCGGCTGAGGCGCGCGATGCTGAGCGGAAGGCGGCGTCCAAGGTACAGATTAAGCGGGTTGAGCGGAACAAGCGGAAACATGTTACCGTTATCACGGGCTTGGATATATATGGGTTGGAGAATAAGAAGATCGCCAAGGACCTGGGCAAGAAGTTTGCTACTGGCTCTTCGATGACTAGGTCTGCGGGTGGTACTGAGGAGATTACCGTGCAGGGTGATGTGAGTGAGGATGTTAAGGAATGGCTGCTCGAGGTGTACGGGAAGGAGATCCCGGAGGCCAATATTGAGCTCATCGAGGATAAGAAGAAGAAGAAGGCGGCCGAAGCGCCCTGAGGTATAGTTGACGGGACTATGAATGCATAATGTACAAAAATGCTATGCTGGGGGGACACTATGGGTATCATGACATTATTTATGGTTTACATATTAGATCAACAGAGATACGACAGTCTCGAGGCTGGCCTTGAAAGTTGTCCTGAGTCTCGGAAATAGAAAGATCCAGCGCGCTCATAGCTCGTCAAATATTGTCAGTGGGTCTGGATGAGTAGTCCTGACATTAGTATCATCTCTAGTAGCCGTGGCTACGACGGGAACTGATCCCCCAGAGGGCCGATTATGATGACGAGAAGGGAGATTCCGCAGAGATCGTGGCCATGCTTCCCTCGGGCTATCTGAGACTGCTTCATGACCATTCTCTGGTGGTAGAGCATGCGACGAGTTTGTTAGAAACAATGCTTGCGAAGGTAATCCAGAAGGGTCTGCACTCGTCGTAGTCGGCCAATTTTGTATCGCAATAGCGAGAAGAACTGCGAGCACGCCAGCTACCACCACAGTCCAGAAGATCCGAAGGCGCCGGTTAACTCGTGACTGCCATTCTAGTTCTTTCTTGTCCCAACGATCAATTTCATGGCGCATTGCCTCGAGTCGACTGTTAAGACCCTCGGCCCTCTGTCGCCCCGTCTTCATGCGATCTTCCAATGTCTTAATCCTCTCTAATTGGGGTTGAAACTCTTTCAATTCCCCCATCTGTTTCCGGATTTCCTTATCCAAGCCCGATGTCTCCCGCTGGAAGTCGTCAAAAAGGGCAGAAGTAGAACTAGAAAGCTCCTGGAATGATGCGATGGTCGAATTCAATGCGGCAATCTTCTCCAGAAGGTTGTAGTACGTATAATCCAGTCTACGGGTGATATCCGTTGCAAGGGTCCCGATCATTGACAGGGCAGACCGTAAATATCTATCATCAAACCAGTCAAAACCATCCCAAATGCGAACGGACAACAATCGACTTACTCCTCCCCTTGTTTTCTCTTACTCTTCACTTGCTCCAGGTCTTCCATCGAGCGTATCTCTTGACGCCTAATGGGACCAAGTTTGTTGCTCGGGTCAATGACATCAAGTAAACTGCCCTTTCGGCTCCCACTACCCAAGGCTGCGGTGGAGTCCGAGCTCCAGCGCGACCAGGTTGTCTCCTGCGTTATGGGTCTAAGCAAACCATCGTCGGTATCGTTATCCTTTTCCTTGCTACCAGACCATGTTGGCAGAAGACCTCGAGAACCAGCGGACGAGGCGAGGTTGTTCATTCTTCGGGGAAACCGAAAGTCGCCGGATTTACTGTGCTTGTGCTTGTGCTTCGAGCGAGATTTAGACTTAACGCGATTTGGACGGGGAGCGTCGAAGGTTAGAAGTTGGTGGTGATGCTTCTCTCCAGTCAGACCGGGAGGTTGAGATACTTCGCGACCATGGTGATTCTGGCCGAGTTGAAGACTTCCGCTATAGTCGCTGGTGGCACTGGAGGGCTGCAAGCTGGGTGGTGGTGCTGGTTTCTGGCTTCCGGCGGCTCCAGAGCCATGGGCCGGTGGGTAAGACGCGGACAGCTGTTTGGACGGTTGGGAAACCATGGCGGGCAGGAAGGATCCAGGTCAGTGAACCCTCTCCACTTTCCTTAGCACGCCCTGACCCGGATAACACTGCTCAACGCGTTGGTCAACCTGGGCGGTTTGTTTCTGAAGATGTTTTTCCATCGGTCGTACGACTCGCTAGCAGAGGTGAAACACAACGTGGTTGAACGTGATGCCAAGCGCTGATCCATGCGCTGGCCCCTGATCCCGCAAAGGATCAGCAGGACTCGGAATAGATACTTCCATTGGGATTTGACTACTCCAAGCCTTCTGATGTATGAAAGTAAGGACAGTCTGCGCTTTCCCTTTGACGTGTAAAGTAACACGGCTTTTCTGTACATTATTGTGATGTGTTGTCATGGATAGGTCAGGAACCATGTAGATAATTCGGTGTATCTATTGTAGTATATACTATTCTGAAAGGTTGATTTCTAACTCCACGGTCGCCAGCGAACTCCACTTGTCATGAAACAGTAGCCATCAATCGGCCGTAATTCCCAAACCCGGCAAGAAAGGAAACATGGTGTAAAGGTGAATGATACAAAGTTTACGGCGTGGGGGTACATCAGCCACCACTCGAACGAGATGTAGACGGGTTAGTGATCAACAGACAAGGCGAAATAATAAAAGGTAGAAAAAGAAATGAAGCTGGGAGTATAAGGAAGGAAAGAAGGACCAGAGCCGACGGCAATCAAGAGTTCAGCAACTTGTTGCGCTTTTCGCGGCGCTTCAGGCGCTCGACTCGCTTGCGGTGCATTTTCTCGGCCATCTTCTCATAACGTTCCTTCTCCTCCTTAGCGGCTCGACGATCCTTGATTCTTTGGATATGCGCCTAGGTGATTGTCAGCAAGATTAACAATCTCTTTTGTAAGACATGTCATAGGCTGAATCCCACCTGTCTCTCTGCCTCCTTTTCTTCCTTCAACTCTTTCTCGTGTTCCTTCACGGCTTCATGGTGCTTTCGTGCTTCCAGTCGCTTAGCGTAGGAGGTCATGCCCGAAGTAGGGCGGAACGGCTTCTTGGTATCATGCCAGTTTTTTCCTGCGGGTCCGAGAAGCGAAAGGCATTAGCAACAGTTATTTTCGAAGGCCAGGGAAAAAAAAGTGGGGTAGCTAATTTCATACCATTTTTCCGCATGCCCTTGATGGGGGCAGCAGCTGAAGGTGCGGAGGACATGATCGGACCGAGAGTAGGCAGAGCCAAACGAGCCGTTCGACCAAAAGGGGGGGTTGTGTTGGGATGTGAAAGAAGAGAGTAAAAGAAAAGAGAGATTCCAGACGGGATGATGATGGAATTCTCTTAGCTCTCCGCTGCCCTCTTTTTTTTTTCGGGGCCTCCGAGTTTTGAGGAAAAAGTTATCTTAGACCGATCAGATAACCGGATCTCGGCAGAAGTGGTGCGCCGGGCCCCGTCTGGCATGGAATTGAGGGATTTGTCGGCGAGAAGTTTGACGGATCACACTCAACTAGTTGCAGCACTCGCCGCAATCAGCCAACCGCCGCGAGGTCTACGCACCCCACCCATCGCTCACATCCCGACTTCCCCTGCCCCCTTGGCCTTTTGGGCTCGTGTTCCGCTTTACTGGCAAGCGATGTTCGCTCTCTCTTAATTTATCGCGCGTGGTTCGGGCACACCTCCAAGCAAAACCCCTCGTCGAGTCACCACACCGCCCCATCACTCTGAAAGTCTTTAAATACCCTTTAGACCGTTCTCTCCCTCGAACAGCTCGCGAAACTACAATGCTCTCTCGATAAGACTTGTCTATCCTTTTACCCCCCACTGTGTCTCTCTCCTTGCATACACCCGTCAAAGTCGTGTCGTGTAACCCGAGCTCGACTGCTCATTCAACCTTTTCCCTGATGGCGGCCGCCGAACATGCGATAGCAATCAATGATGATATTTCAATGGAGTTGCCTACACTTCCGCCCAACCAGGGCCTTGAGGCCTTTAAAGATATCGTGTTTGGGTCGGTGAGTTATTAACCGTCGTCGTGCCCAACCCTTGTGGACCTGAACATGATACTGACGTTTGACCCCACTAGGCTGCAGGAATGGCAGGCAAAGTGATCGAGTACCCTTTCGATACAGTCAAAGTGCGGCTCCAATCTCAACCGGATCATCTTCCTCTCAGATACAAAGGCCCCTTGGATTGTTTCCGTCAATCCTTCCAAGCAGATGGCCTACGCGGGCTCTACCGGGGCATTAGCGCTCCCATGGCAGGTGCTGCCATTGAGAACAGCTGCTTGTTCTTCAGCTACCGTCTGATCCAGGATATATTGAAGGCCACTGTCTACTCCCCTGCCGATGACCTCCCTTTCTCGGCACTGGTGTTCAGCGGCGCTGCGTCGGGATCTATTACCTCCCTTGCACTTACCCCGGTTGAGCTTATCAAGTGCAAGATGCAAGTCCCTGTTACGGCGTCTGGCGGAACCCCCCCTGGTCCATTGACTCTGATAGCCACTGTCTTCCGTCAAGATGGTCTCCTTGGCTTTTGGCGCGGACAGTTGGGAACACTTATTCGCGAGACTGGTGGCGGCGCTGCATGGTTCGGTGGCTATGAGGGGGTATCTGCACTGTTCCGCGCATACCGTGCCCCATCTGCAGAGCTCAAGGAAGATGGAACATTCTCTGATTCCATTCCTATCTACCAGAAGATGATTGCAGGTGCCGCAGCAGGCGTCAGCTACAATTTTCTCTTCTATCCTGCCGATACGATCAAATCGCGCATGCAAACAGAGGATGTTACGCGAGGAGCATACAACGGCAAACGACAGACATTCTGGGGAGTTGCAAAAGCCTTGTGGAGACAGCAAGGACTAAAAGCTTTGTATCGAGGCTGTGGCATTACCTGCGCTCGATCTGCCCCCAGCTCCGCCTTCATCTTCACCGTCTATGAGGGACTACGGAATCATTTTGCCTGATTCTCAGCTTCCTTCTACCCCACATTCTCTTTTCTTTTCTAGCTCTTGCCCTATATCTTTCTACTCTCTCGTATCCCGATTCTTCATTTCTTTCCCCTCCGACGTTCGTCGGATGCTTCTTGTTTATACACTTTCCGGTTGAGGCGCTTTCGTATGATACCTACAGTCATGTTCCGAGTTAGATTCCAACATCTTCTTTTGAGACCATCAATCTGGTATTGGTGCGAAGAAGAAAATGGAGTGTTGATCTATTTACAATTCTCTTTTTGTTTGCTGTCCATTATTATTTCATGCTTATGAATCTTATATATTTTCGTCTTGTTGGAATTTTTTTCTCTATTTTATTGTTGATATAGAGGTGTGTGCGGGGATTCCGAAAAGGCAATTGGCGATTACTTTAGTGATGACATCATGGATAATATCGGGTGGGAGTCGATACAACCTTGAAACACAGGCAGCCGAGGTTACAGAAAAGCATCTAGATTAGATAAAAATTGAAGATTTAATATAGATAATTCTTGGTTATCCGTGTTATCAACATTATCGTGAGTCACACTGAGACAAGTCAATCCTTACGATAAGAGAGGGGTTGTGGAAACATGAACAACAACCACAACGGGCGTTTCTTCCGGTCCAGATGACCTCTTCCCCGCGCAGTAACTACTACTACTACTACATCCATCCGTATATCTATCTACCCGCTACCTGTAAACTTCGTTTGACTTTTCATTCTTGGGAATAAACCCATCCAGCCATCAAGCTAGACAAGGAGAAAACATGGTCCACGCTGCCGACCACCTCTCTGCCCAAGAGCTCGAAACGCTCTCCACCAAGGCCATCGCCGCCAAGGATACCGCATACTGTAAGTCCACCTGTCCCCTAACCCAAAAGCCGCCATGGCATATATCTAAAATCTAACTAATGCGACACCAACAGGCCCCTACTCAAAGTTCCGTGTTGGCGCATGCATTCTGACCGAGTCGGGTGAATTCGTCCAAGGCGCCAATGTTGAAAATGCCTCTTATCCCGTTGGAACTTGTGCGGAGCGAGTAGCGTTTGGAAATGCCATTGTAAGCTGTCAACTCTACACCTCTTTTTTTTTTCTTTTCAATTTCATCTCCGTGTCTACTTGCTGTACCTTGCACATGTCGAAAATGAACTGAAGAAAATCACTCATGCATTTTTGCTTACTTCGTCGGACTGCTTTGCAGGTGGCCGGGCATCGCAACTTCAAAGCCATTGCTGTCGCAAGTGACATCAAACCTCCCGCTTCGCCATGCGGCATGTGTAGACAGTTGTACGTACCCTCTCTGTCTCTCTCTGTCTCTCTATTCCCTGGCCCTGGTTTTCCGAGTTTTCGTGCTGTACCCGCAAATAGCTTGCGCGAAAAAAAGAAGGCAAGCAAATCAAAAATGATTGGCTACCCGGGGAGTTCTATAATTCCCTCATCACAATAATGCGACAACAACAAACCACGCACGTACGTACTTACTTGCTAACTAACAATGATTCGTATCTCTCAGTATGAGCGAATTTACCACCTCCGAATTCCCCATTTTTATGTACGACGGTGAGGGTAATTATACTCTTACTACAATGGGAGAGGTAATATATCTGACCAATCCATCCATTCTGTTCTGAATCAGTGGCTGACAACTGGTTTTGCTCGCATTGCAGCTCCTGCCGAACTCGTTTGGCCCGAGTGATTTCACTCATTGAGCATTGCATCATGTCACTATGTTTGATTTGCTTAATTATTCATTGGTTGCTATTGTGGAGTAAAGCAGGGTGACTGGCATGTGTAAGCGGGTGGGTGATTCTTCCTTTCATTTAAAGTCCTGTTTGTTGTTGCTGTTGCCTGTCGACGCTACTGTGCTCGGTGCATTCGTTGGAAGTCACCGCGGGAAACGGTGTTTGTGGTTGGTGGTTGGATTATCCAGGGTAGTTGGTTCCCGGGGGAGACAGATGATGATTATGATGCTGACCTACGCTCTCCTTATATTATGATTGAACATCCAAAATGTACGGTGCTGCTCTTTTGAAGCAAACGTACGCGTAGGACAAGGTAAATTAATATGCTCATGTGCATCGAAGGGGCTATCCAGGCTTCCATTATATACAGTCGCCTTCTAATTAGAGAGTCGTCGTAATCAGCACCTCTCATATGAGGGCAAGCAAGAATATTCAGGTTAAACTCTTACTTCTTTGAGGGGTCGATGTCTCACTTTGTACCATGACATGCAAGTTTTCGAAGTCCTTGCACGGCTTATGGGATAAAGCTGTCTCCGTCGATTATCATGTCATGCTACGTCTAAAATGTTATGGCTCGAGTTGTTTGGGCAGTTCCCGAATTGGTATGACTTCGTAAACTCCAGAGAATTGCAAGATACCCATTTAGCACTGATTCTACTTCACCTCTATGGCATGCACATTATATAGGCGATTAGAATAAGAAAAAATAAAGACGGGGGACGCAAAAAATGCGTACATAGAGACACATTTCAATACATGACGTTCTCATAATTAAACATAACCTCATGGGCCCGACACGGTTGACCGACAGATGTCAGGATGAGCCATATCATTACAGCTCTTCCTCTTCATCCGCTTCGAGATCTTCCACGCCAAGAAGCTCATCCTCGTCGTCAACAACACCAGTATAGTCGCCGCGCCTGGCGGCAAATGATCCGCGAGACGCATAAGGCCTTGAGTAACCCCGGTTGCGTCCTAGGCGCACATATCCACTCGCGCTTCGCCAAAGACTTGTAGCCAACAGTGGGAGCGCCTTGATGACGGCCACCGCACCCGCAATTATGGCGATTGGGACGGTGATGAGAAGAGAATCTCGCGAAAGCAGACCCTGGGAGGTACCAACATTCTCCCCGAGCCGAATCTGGCCAAACTTGCCGTCCCACCTAGTATAGCCATAATAACCGACAGCGCTTGCTACAGCAATAGGGATGACGATCGCGAAGAAAAGACCAACCCCGCTAATCCCATGCTTCTTCTTGTACTCTTCCTCTCTGTTGGGGCAAGGCTTGGAAACAATATGATCCATTTCACGTCCACCCTGACACGTTGATTGAGGGAGACGCCGATATCCTGAGGGTTCCCAGTATTCATATGCATCAGGGTCTTCTCTGCATACAGCCATGGTATCAGGAGGAGCGAGTCCTTGAACAAGAGCACAGCTGCCATCACTCTGGGGCTCGTAGTTATAGTCACTGCCTCCGAATCAGCAATTGTACCGGTTACAGGTAAGAAGTAGCGCTAATGAAAAACAAGGGAGGGCGGTTGACGAAGACTACTTACCATTCAAAATCAGCCCTCGTGCAGGGGCAGTTCTCTCCGATGCTGTGAACATGAGGCTCACGCCAGTCGTTCCAACATTGAGCTGACGGTTTCTTCCGATGATACTGCTCAACATGGCCAAACAGGCAATTATCGTCCTGGAACGGATGTTTTGGTTCCCAGAGGTAATAATCATGGCTCTCAGCTTTATTCTCGTCCAACTTGCACGAAGAGGAACGGAGCCCACTGAAGTCAACGCTTACTGTCGCGAGCTTATCTCGGTAATCCGATTTCAGCTCTTTGCCCCAGAGAAGAAAGCTCTTGGAAGTGTCGGATGGTACGGTGGAGATATCATCGATCTGCATCTCCACGTCTGAGAAGACAAATTCCGACCACGTGTCACCCTCGTCAAGACTGTAGTAAAGAGTTTTGGTGGGCTTCGACTCAGGCACGATTACAATCAAAGAGCCGGCATCACCAAACTCCCAGATGTACCTGCCCTTCTTGACCGACTTCCATGTGAAGCCAGCATCCCGGGTTATGAACGTATCGGCCTCGTCTTCGCCACCGAGGTGGTCACCAACATTGCCGACTCCGAGCATCAAGCCGATTGCTGAACTGGACGAAAAAGTGTCCCGCTCATCCCTGCGTTCTGTATAGCCGTGAAGGTGGAGCGAACAGCCAGGAACGCCTTCTCCTTCAACAGAACACCCAAAGTCCTTGCCCTCTGCATCCTTACTTGGGGGAGAAAGCAAGGTCCATTGCCCTCCATCGTTGTGGGTAATCATTGTCCTTAACTTTTTCGGCTCCCCGTTTGACAGCTTGTTCACGTTACTGACAACATTGGCAACTGCCACGCCTTCTATGCCTTGCATCTTCTCAAAGTCAACATACCCCCGGAAGTTTCGATTCACCGCACCAAGGCTGAGCACATAGGAAGTTCCGTTGCTATTACTCTTGATAATCGATCCGTACTCGGCCCCTTCCGAGTTACTTACTGTAACATGCAGGAAAACGGCGTGAGTAGAACTTTCCAGAACGGTATATGCCGTTTGGACAGGGACATTGACATTGGGAGGAAATTTTGCCTCCGCAAATGTCTTACCATCGACGCTGCTGCTCGCCACCAAAGAGTCGGGCTTTTCTGTATCTCTTGAAGCCACAACAATGAACTCGGACATAGTGGCATAGTTGATGACATCTCTGAAATGAACCTTCGAGTCTGAAAACCAGTTCTCACTGGATATCAGTTGTAGTCGGTTGTTCCTGTTCTCATTCTCGAACTGCTCGCAGAATATGAGGTTCGTGCTATCTTCACGGCCTTCCCTGCTTTCGAATTCACACTTTTGAACATAGCGTTGCAGCAGCTCCCAATTGTCCCCGCGGTTTTTACTAATGTAGGCGTTGGAGTGACAATCACCAGATCCGCAATCAACGGCCCCTGTCCAGATCAACCAGTCTTGGTACTGAGGATGGAACGTAAGGGTTGGAAGGCGTTCCTCAGTTGGAGGCGCTGGTGCATCGAAAGGCTTGAATGACTGGCCACGGTCAACAGTCCAAAAGCCTTCAGCACCGTCTGTCAAGAGGAAAGCACCATCACTGTTATATGGGTGAGGAACGATTCTGTTGATTGCTTCTCCTTTCAGTGGCTGCTTCCATGTCTTCCCATGATCATGTGATACATAGAGCGCACGTTCACTGGTGAGCATAACAATCGTCTCGTCATTACCAGAACTGCTTGACTGGCGTTCTAGGTAATAGTAAGCACTGAATTGCCTTGCGTCAAAGTATTGTTTTTCCACGCTGATCTCGCCAGATGTGGGCACATTGCCTGCATCCTTGCAATGCCACTCAATATCGTGATCCAAATTCTTGCCGCCATCACGGATGCAAGTGTCACCTGGTATCAGTCTCCAACCAGATGGTCCCATGAAGGTATCATCGGGGTTTTTGCACCCTTCTGGGGGCGTTGGCAGTAAGGCCGGGATACAACTCTTTCCGTCCTCGCTGCCTTTGAACTCACATTCGAAGTCTTCTGCCGTACATTTGCATGGTTCCATAATCGGCTGAGGATCTTTGAACTCCTCATCCACGAAGCAGTCAGCATTCGCCTTCCTGCGGCGGAAAAATTGTTTGTGACCCATCAAGCAGTCTGGCTCGCCATTTTCGTCTAATCTAGCTGGCCACTTCTCGAAGTCATCTTCTTCGCATTTCCGCTCATGCAATCCCTTGAAGTCAATGGAATAGACAATGTACCCGCTTTCCTCGTTTTGCTTGCCGACTAGTAGAAACCTTAGGCTCGTGGAGTCTGGTGTCGTAGTGACCATGGTAGGATATATTTTATGTTCAATCTCCACCGATTCCCATTCCTTGCCATGGTCAAGAGAAAAGCTAATCTTGTTGGATTTGCCCTTATCGCTGATTGCCATAACCACAGCTCCTTGGTCGCCAAATTCGTACTTATGCGGCCCGTCAAGAGCATGACGCCAGGTCACACCAGCATCATCTGAAATATAAAGATCGCCGTCGGTGTATTTCTGAAGGTGATCACCTGTATTGCCAATTCCCATGACTAATCCTGGTGCTGGACTGGAAAATACCCGGCCGATATTGGCGAAGGTAGTCACGGAATGTAGATGTAAACTCTTTTCACCAACCTTGAGAGGTTGGAAACTTCGCCCATCGTCGAAACTTATTCTACTGATGACCTTTTTCGCTTGCCCGGACTCAACCTCTTTTGGGTTTTTCACCGTATTGACCAAAACTATGCCTTGAATGCCAGCAATCTTTTCGAAATCGACGGTTCCTTCCATATCGCGATTGGTGTGTTCAATATTGCGGCTGAAGAATGTGCCGTTCGAATTGGAAGTGAATAGGACACCCATGTTGCTGGATGGGCTAGTCAGGACGTCTACCTGCAGGCTATAGTTGGTGCTCTCCAACATTGTATACGCGTCCTGCTCTACCCGATGCCCATCGAATTCGGCTCGGTGCCAGGTATTCGTATCCGTTGTCACAAACAAGGCAAGCTCTTCTGTTCCCTTGGATTTGACGGCGGCCACAATAAACTTCTTGACAGCGGCTGTGCTAATGACACCGGAGACAGGCCGGCCCTCATGTAAGTTCACCTCTGTGCCTTCGATGTTACTGACGAAGTAATCATCCGAGTATACCAAGCGGTTGGCGTGTCCAAAGGGCACCTTCAACCCAGGAACGACGCACAGTGATCTGTCCTTCAACTCCTGGTTCATATTCAAATCTTCAGCGAAGTGAGGGTGCCCAACTGCCCAGGAGCACCCTGCCGCACTCTCCCGCAGCAGCCTAACGGTCTTGAAATCATCAGTCGTGTAGTACGACCTCACAATGCAGAAAAACCCGGCACATTCTTCGCTTTGGTATATGACCTTACTCGAGTCCCAACCATGAAAAACAAGGGGCGGGTGCTGTAAGGCCGGCTGGTCGCCTATATCGAACGATCTCCACGTCTTGGCCTGATCCGTTGTGACCAAGTGATGTCCGTTAAAACCGAGAGCATAAGCCTTATTCTTGTCGAACGGGTGCTGTCGTATGAAAATCACTGGTTGTGCCACACTACCATCCTCGCTGCTAACCACGTCTTCCCAATCCTCCCCCCCGTTGAAAGACTGTTTGAAGTCTCCATTCTTCAGGCTCATAAGAACAGTTTCTGAGTCCTCGAAATAGAAGAGAGAAAAGGGTTCATGTTCAAGCTTGGTCGCCGTGACCTTCGGTTGATCGGATTTCTTCGCAGAGCTTTGCTGGGGAATAAGAGCCACCAAAAGGCAGCTCACCAGCACGAGCCATCGAAAGATCATGGCCGTGAAGTACAACACATTTGAAGGGCGTAAGAGCTGATAACCGGCAAATGTGGCCGGATGATTGCTTTGAATAGAAGATTCTGCTGAAAAACACAGTTGATGCAAATCAAGTATATTATGTATCCTTTGTGAATAGGTAGTCTGAGGCCGAGGACGTTCCGGTTGATGAGCAAGCAGGGAATAATGTCTCGGTGATCACTGCAGCTGCGTGGCCGCAGGGAAGCTCCCACAGTCACGTGGTCAGCATGCTTATCGCAGCACGTCTAGACCTCGGTTTCAGCCGGGCGCGCGCGCGCGCGCTTGACGTATGGAGTAGATGAACCCTGACCCAGAATTGGCCGGATCCGGGGTCTTCGAAAACGTTAATTCATTTCCTGGAACCATGCGACACTCGGCCACCATTCCTACACTATAATACAATATGAACTTACTTGGACCCATTTAGTGGCCTTCCTAATGTCACGGTATCTAAGCACCTTCTTTCTTCTAAACAAGTAATTGGTTGAAACCATCATAAGGTCCTAGCTTCTAGCGGTCCTCTTCTCACTTTGTATAAGGCAGGTCGTAGTTCCTAATTTGGGGAACAAGGTATAGCAAAGACTGTCATCGCAGCGATGATCTCCGAGTCTGCTGGTGCAACCAGAATTTAGCTTTCTGCCATATTCCGATCATATTCGAATACCAAAGTATAACTGATAAGGTTTCTCTTATGAGATGACATTTGTGCTATAGGGAACCATAAACTGCATACAGTCCGACAATCCCTAGTGACTCAATTCTAATATATATGTATATATTAAAATTTAGAACCGGGAAGGTCATTGCGCTTATTAGCACATGACTTTCCTGCCCTTTGATTATGGGGATGTGCTTATAGTGAGTCAATAACCCACTGTCTTGGCGTATAATTTAGGTTGTTACTGGCCTGTCACCAATACTATGTTAGGGTGCGAGACAGATCGCGCGCATCTCGTACAAGCAGGGTAATGGATATACCAAATCAATGTGGGATTACTGGTACAAGGAGGGTAAGTCTCATACATTAACGAGCATAACGAGCATAGATACGGAATACTTGAACCAATGTGGAGAAGCGATTGGCGGCGAGGCACAACAGTAATAGTATCTTTTACTATGCTAGTTGGTATAGGCGAGCAGTACCTTGCATCATTGTAACCCAGGGAAGGGCCACAGCAGCCTTAAATTTACATAAATAAGAGGATAGCCATACTCCAATGCTAATGGTCCTCGCCAAAGGAGGCAGCAGTAGCTCACAAAGCAAACTGGATAGAACATGACATATCATAAAGCACAGTAAAAGAAGACTACAATAGATAAGCCATTAAAAAGGTAACGATATGACATACTCATTCATAACATACATTTCATCTGCAAATCCAGCCCTATTTCCATACCCTAAGCTTGCACCATACGTTTTTCATTTTGTGTCGTATATTCTCATCAGCATTGCGAGTTTGTGGGTCTCCTTCTGCTGAAGATGACTCGGTAGACACCGGAGTAACCGGTGAAACGGCCTCCCAGGAGCTTGTTCGAAGATCAGGTCGTGTCAACGTCATCTTCAGTGTCATTTCGCGATTGTTTGGATCAAGCCGCTTGCCAGTGCCCTTATCGCATGAACAAGATTGTTGCATATTACTCGGTGAGATATGCTTGTCTGAGATGGGATGCTCCAAGAGCCGGGGCGGCTCTACGGCGTCTGATATAGGAACATTGGCCTCTGTGAAAAGGTCTGCATTCTTGGCCACAGCTGGGTATACCTTTCTCCTACCACTCTGGGGCTTTGGGCTCTGCTTTAGTACACCGGGCAGCCCTGATGTCGTGTCCTCATCCGCTGGGGCCGGAAAGCCGAACTCGATGGCTTCGTCGAAATTATGCGGGGATGCTAGGTAGAGTCGTAGTTTGAGGCGCGCTTCTGGATCCTGGTAATGTTGAGCACCCGGATCAATGCTGCAAAAAGATGATTGGAGACCATGATCGCCTTGCGCTTGCCTCGATAGCGGACGAAATTTGGATTCTCGAGTAAGAAGGTTGGTTAAGAAGGACGACGTGACGGGAGACTGGCTGGAATGTCGGTGGTTCTTGTGTGAAGCAGCAAACGATGGTTGTCGAATAAGAGTGGCAGAAGTCAAAGACAATGTCCTTCTGATGCAGGGTCTCTTCAGTTTTCGGTGTGGCATCTTCATTGGTGAGTTGACGTAGTTGGTGGGATCCTTGTCGAGGGCAAGATCAAGGTCATGCTCCTCACCAAACCACCGCAAGACATCACCAGGAAGTTTATCCATGTCGGCGTAAAATTACTCGTAGATGGAACGGTGAAAGATGAATATTGTACTCCGAAGGTGATGTTACAGCGTCTTTATCATATGAGACTGACTGATCTTTGACGTCTGAAATGGCTGAATGTCGACAAGACAGGCTTAGTGATATAGGAGGCGGTTTTGGGTTACAAAGGGTTTGGAAAGAGTATCATTTCCCACGAGAGCCTCTATGGGATTGAATGCATGTACACATGGGCTCCGAATTTCCTTCAGAGTTATAATTTAGCCTCTATGGGCAACTAGTGTTGGTTAGGCTTGAAATGCATATATCAAGCGAACTGAAGGGGTAAGCCCCTGAAAGCTAGAGTCAATAGTGAGGGTATCCTCGAGTCATTGCGATCTATACCGTGCAGGGAAAAGCTAAACCATATAAAAAATTAAAATAAAACAAAATTAAAAAGAAACAACAACGAAAGAATGCAGACACTATCATATATGAGCCTACACTAAGCGCTCTGCTTCGTCAAGCTTCTGATCGCGAACATCATCACGCCTCAGCTCATGTGAGGGGTTGCACTTAATACAAGTAAGCTGATTCTTCTGGAATGGAAAGACGTCCATGTTTACACAACCAGTTCTCTGTAGAAGAAATAATGCGAAAAACGTGGTGCTATGGTTGCTAGACTTCGAAGGAAGAGTACTACCGGATTGGCCCTTTGATTTTGTACAAGTATTGAAATTATCTATCAAGGATTCTGGAGGTATAAATTGTCTCCAATAGTATCGAAATAGCGCCGAAAATAGTAGGAATCCCTTAGCAGCTCAACGGGTTCACCCTGGTCATGGGCAACACTATCTACAGGGTAACTTCGGATACATGGACTAGCTTTTGCTAATCGACAAGTGGGGCACATGGGAAAATTAGTTATATGCAGGCATCATTATTATTCCGCAGTAGTGCGGGTACACACATGTACGAGATATACTTGACTCTAACTACGAAGAAGCAAAGCCTAGGCTCCTCAGTTAATCATGAAGAGGGTCTATCCGGCGGAGGAAAATTAGTTAATTAATATACAAGGACATTATAAATAGGTTGGAGCATAAAAATCTGACGCCATTTATACTATCAGGTTAATTCCCTCCTCCTTGATGGCATTATCTAGTTCATCAACTAAAGTAGATTGTCAATCCTGCCACTAGCTGGCTAGCTTGCGGACTAGTAAAGGGGTAAGTCGCCGGGCATGCCCGACCCCCTTTTCATTTTCCCTCTAAGCCGGAAAAGAAAGAGAGGGGGAACAACAGAAGACAGAGAAGGAAGGAAAAGAATATAAGTACACTACATAGATCATTAGCCTTGGTTGGAGATATACTCCGTACGGAGTCTAACACGGTCAAGTCTTCATTATCCATAGTTATTGGCTGTGTCCACACTGTTCCCTATCACAGAATATTAAGGACACTCTGCAGCGCAGCTGTATTGGAATCCTCTCTGCGGGAAACATACGCCCTGACCTCCTGGACGCTAAGGCCTGTTTCTGTCTGGCCAGAACCCCCGAGGCTTCGGCCTGGGCTGTTTCCAGTATTATTTCCAGCGCTTCCACCAGTACCACTCCCTGTACCACCACGAATTCTTTCGCGTAAAGCTTCAGAGCCGATAACAAAGAGGTTGCCCACTTCCAGCAGTACGTCCAGCGTACCGCTTGGTCCTTTGACCTGTTCCTCGATGTCCCAGGACTTAAGAAGGTCCGTATATTGCGTCATATCCTTGGTAACCATAAGCCCGCCAGGCCCATTAACAACGAACCGTTTGAAATGATCCAGCAGGAGAGTGCGCGTTCCAATGGCAATTTCTGTTAGCAGTTGGCGAATATTGGAGCCACTGGGCGGCAAGGATGTCTTCACCACGTTATGCACACGAGTCAGGAATGTGCAGATTGTAGCACAGGTCTAAGATAGATTAGCATGGCCTGCCAGAGGTTGAAAGTAGACCTTATCATCATAACTCACAGGTGTTTGTAGCTTCTCCAACCAAGCCGTACTATCCCCCTCCTTGGGTCGGAAATCGTTTTTCTTTTGGCCAGACAGGAGTTTGCCAGTCCATGTTAATGTATTGTCAATGACCTTCTGCTCAAGTATGTTGATCTTCTCTTCTATGCGCATAGTGATGAGACTTGTTTTCTTCTCCATCTCCCGCCGGATGGTAATGCTACCCGCCGCAAGTGGGATGAGTAAAGTATTTATGCACATAACCATCAAGTTTGCAATACCAATAGCATTCCGAATGGCTGGTAAATATGCAAAATCTGGCTCTGCTTTCCCAGACTCTTGCGATGTTGCTGCTTCCAGTGCGGCATCTAGAGACACTTCAATGAACCCTTCTCCCATTACTGAAAGAAGGAGAGTCAATAGTGCAAGCATATCCTTGGGTGTTTCACTATTAACGCTAAGCTCTAAGCCTCTGCCAACTGCTTCGGCAAGCCACTTAAGCATCCGCTTTGCAGAAGATATGCTTGGGATGCCGTCTTCTTCGGTCAGTTTAATATCAGTAGGTTTTGAGAGGTCGCTAGACTCTCTCAATCCTGCCACTTGGAGTAGCAATCTTCTTTGGGTTGGAGGAAATTCCGAAGACTCCAGACGACTCAAATATGCGTCACGAGCCGAAGAAAGCATTTCAGTACCGGATTTGGAAAGGGATGCCATGAAAGTTGTTGCTGCCTTTTTTCTGCGTGCATGAAAAGTAGTGAACTTGAAAAGCAAGGACGTATAAAGTTCTTCCAGTGTCCTCTTCTCCCTCTCTATATATGACGATCCAACGAAATAAGGTACGAACAAGTCTTCCAACTGTTGGTCAAGGACCAAAGCCGTTTGTGAAGAGATTGGATCCGGGTGTTCCGTCAGCCCATGGCTTTTCAGATCATCAACAAGAGCACTGATGTAACTTCGAGAGCTCTGTAAGGATCGTAGAAATGCTAGTGATGAAACGCTGTTTGCCTTTTCCAAGACCATTTCTAATCTTTGCTGAATAGACTGCTGAAACACGCGTTGCAAAAACTTCCCGAGGACCTGCTCATAGTATGGAAAGGCTCGCCGGATGATGGCCGATTCCTCTTGCACTACGACCTTGACTTCATCGATCAAAGACTGAAGGCTAGGTTCCACTTTCAGAGGTTCAGCATCGGGGTCTGCGAGCATCTCCCACGTCTCTAAATCGCCCCCTACTTCTTCTGTAACTAGCTGGCTTCGATCGATGAAGAACTGGTGCTGGTTGACGAATAAAGCAATGACGCTTGCACCACCGTTGAAATCCTGAAGTACAGTTGCGCAGTCCTTCATGCCTTCAAAATTTGCCTTGCGGTAGAAGTCGTCAAATTGCTTTAACAAATCATTCTCCAAAGTTTCAGAAAACTTCTCGATGATTTCACGAGTGTTCCGTCTGGTCCCATTCCCTTTCCCATTTATGTTATCGTCTGCAGATATAACTCCATTTCCGGGGAGCCCAGCGGACCTTCCACTCGAATCGTTCCAGCTCTCGGTATCGAGTCTTTGACTTATGCGAAGCAGTTGCCGCGCGATCTGTGCCGACCGTACCTTGGCCTCACCAGTTCCGGAACGTCTTAGGTTCTCTAGAAGCGTTAGCTCGCCCCTGTTGCTCACACCATCCCAACACTCGAGCAGAAAGCGGGCATCAAGCGCCCGACGTCTTTGGCGGTCTAATTCCTCCAATTTCTTTCCAGTCTCGACAGCCATATTTCCGGTGCCCCCGGCAAGCTCTACACCTGAAAGCCCGGCACCATTGAGCGAGGTGTCGAGCTGCTGAAAAGACTCGATTGTCTGTTTTAGCTTCTTACCCAAGGTATTGAGGTTCTGGGAATGCTGTGCCTCAGCCCTGCGAACTGCTGCAGACAGTTCATTTTCTCTGATCTCTAGGTCGCCGGAGATTTCACCGAGGCGCCGCTGTGCGTGCTCAAGGGTCCTGATGAGTGGCTTCGGGTCAAACGGTTGGTTTCCGGTTGTAGGCGTGATTGTAGAACGACGATTCGAAATGGCGGAGTCCGACAGCGCCTCGATAAACTCCTTGACAATGAAGTCGCGACTTGAGAAGTCCTCAAGGGTGAAGCTGGGACCTGTTGGGAACACTGATCGAGATGCAGCGTTGAGTGGGGTAATCGAGGACGCATCGTCCGGCATCTTTATAACTGAAAGCCGGGTCTATCTGCATTGATATCAGCATGGATTGTTGTGCAATCCGGACTTCACGGTGAGCGTCAACCGATGCCCTTGATTGCGCCGTGAATGCGGAGAGAAGAGCAACAAGAATTACGGGGCAGCCCAATTACGGAGTACTAGATAGGTGGTCCATTATCGGGAGGACGGGAGAGATGGGTTTCTGGTCTAGCGGATTACATAACTGCATAGCTTCAATAAGCTACTACTGAACGACGAAACAAACATTACCACCTCATTGCTAAATTCAATTTGTTGAATGCCTTATATCTGCTCTTAATTATCTGATCTTTCTTGTAACTTCCTATCCCTAGTAGTGGTATGCTAGGGTGCAGTAGGACTATTCAGCACTCTGTTATGACTATCGGTGTTACCAACGAGGAGAAGTAAGAACATATTTCGAATAAACCGAGGGGATCTAGTAGATAAACATGGTGTATTAAGCTGCACCTAGGAGTACTATTTCTTCACACAGCATCCACAGTCCGGGTCCTTCTTATCAACCAATGGTCACTAGTTCTAGAATGGCCGTGGGTACTGATATCGCAGGACTAGATATATAGTTAGATCACCATACGAAGTAGACTGGCGCATCGATACTAGCACTGCCAACTTGAATGCCATGTGCATGGATACACCTATCTTTACACACATTGTATGAATATGGAGTAGTCCGTATTCCAGCTAGTTACCGATCTTGTACGGAGGAGCACTTGGGATTTCCCAAGCTCGAATCGAATCCGGTCCTTGGGACCCACCACTACCACTGCCACCGCCGCCTGGACTCCCGAACTACTGTCTAATACCCATACGAATTACATCTCCTCAACATAATCAAAACATCTGGGAGTAACCCTGCGCTAGCGCTCACAGATAATAAAACATGGTCACGCAGCGTGATAGAGAATTGTTCAGGGATGATATTCGCTCTCGAGGAACGAAGCTCAATGCTGCTGAGCGCGAGAAACTGCTAAGGCCATATCTGCCAGACCCGTCT